ACTCCCATCGGTATGGCAGGTTTGTATGTGGCACAGGAGTCACATAGTCGCACGATATCTCGTGCATCTGCTCTGGAAACATGGAAATGGTTTGCTAGTGTCCTGGCATTGACGTGAAACTTATCATGGAAGGCACGGGCTCTCTCGATTGGTGTTAGTAAGGTAAAAATCCATAACGGGCGAGTGGCAGTATCAGCAGCTGCATTCCCCTGTGTCATGGGCCCCGGCAGGGATGTATGTGCTCTTATGTGGGTGGTGAAGACCTTATGGTGTCTGTTCTGAAGCAATGTCTGGATAGACAGGAACAGCCCAGCCACTGTGGAAGTGGATCTAATTAAACGGCAGTCTCAAGCACTTGCATAGCATTGACCACATACCTAGAATCGGAGACAATATTAATGGCTTCTGAGAACCGTTCAAGAATCATTTTAACGATCTGCAGTTCCACCACCTGAGGCTGATCAGGTTCAAATTGTATGGTAACCGGGGGCTTGCCTAGGATCACATAGGCGCCTATCCCCGTCTTGGAGCCATCTGTGTATATTGTAGTTGCTGGGACTAATGGCTTAGAGGCAGTAACCTTTGGAAAAATTATAGGGTGCTGAGTGACAAATGACAAGATAGGGTCTTTAGGGTATTGATTGTTTATATCCCCATGGAAAACACATCTCAGAATGGCCCATGTATCTATGCAGGCAGCCAGGGTCTTGATCTGGCTGGCGGTATAGGGTACTCGGATGGCTTGTGGTCCTGAGCCAAAATGTTGGACAGCTCTATCATGCGCCTCAAGGGCCAATGAAGCGACTGTCTCTGGGTAATGCTCTATGACTTTTGTAGGTGAGACCTTAGGGTGTATCCACAGTAATGGTCCTTTCTGCCAAATCACCGCTGTGGGCTGTAGACTAGTCTGTAGCAAACAGACATCAAAGGGTCGCCCTGGTTTAATTCTGTGTAAGGTAGCCCCACCTAAGGCTTTTTCCACTCTCTGTAAGGCAGCTCTTGCCTCAGGAGTGAGCCTCCTGTGGGAGGCTATATCTGGGTCTCCCTTCAGAAGGTCGAACAGGGGTTTGAGATCTGAATTTGGTATATGTAAATATGGCCTAATCCAATTAATGTCTCCCAATAGCTTTTGGATGTCATTTAGGGTCCTAACGCCATCCGTCCTAATGGTGACCTTCTGCGGAGAGACTAGCATAGGGGAGATTCTCGCACCTAAGTAGGTCACCATTTCTCCTCCCTGAATCTTGTCGGGGGCAACATGCAGATTAGCTTGTCTCAGGGCCTCGACCAACTGGCCGAGCATATTATTTAGCATGTCTGGGTCCCTGCCGCTGAGCAAAAGGTCGTCCATGTAATGCACACATCTTATCTTGGGAAAGGATTTCCGTAGGGGGGCCAGTAGGGAATCAAGGTAAATCTGACACATAGTGGGACTGTTGGCCATACCTTGGGGCAGCGTTATCCACTCGTATCTGAGATCAGGGCTTTCTTGGTTAATGGTGGGTAAAGTAAAGGCGAACCTATGAGTGTCCTCTGGATGCAGGGGGATTGAGAAGAAACAGTCTCTAAGATCTATAACATAAACTGGCCAGGACTGAGGGATGGCTGAGAGAGCTGGCAGCCCCCTCTGGACCGCCCCCAGGGACTGCATCTGCGCGTTGACCGCCCTTAGATCATGGAGCAGCCTCCATTTGCCAGACCTTTTCTTAATTATAAAAATGGGGGTGTTCCATGGGGAGGTTGACGGCTTAATGTGTCCTAATCTAAGTTGTGTACTGACTATTTCTGACAAGGCTAATAGCTTCTCCTTAGGCAGGGGCCACTGAGGTACCCAAACCGGATCATTTGACCTCCAGGTGATTTTGATCGAAGTGGGTAGGAGAGCTTCTTCAGCGGCCCCTAAGAAAAACCCAGCCCTTGCCTACCTTTTTTGTTCTCTACTGGTATTGGGGATGTCCGACCCTGTAGGGCATTGCCCAAGCCTTTGCCGGGGGTATATCCCTGGTTCCTGAGTATATCCTTAGCCTGGGGGGAGCAGTTTGACGTAAGCGTGACATCCATCTGAGTGAGGATGTCCCTTCCCCATAGAGACACTGGCAACTGCAACACAAATGGTTGGAAATGGCCCTGATGACCCTCCTCATCGCACCAGAGCAGGGTTGAAGCACTAACCTGAGGAGCTGACACCATCCCCAGGCCCTGCAGCGTGTTATCTGCAGTGTTGGTGGGCCAGTTGGAGGGCCAATCCTTTCTAGAGATAATGGAACGGTCAGCTCCTGTGTCTAGGAGCCCTGTTATACTCTTGCCGTTGACCTTAAGTGAGAGCATGGGCCTTTTATCAAGTATTATATGGAGTCCCTCGAAGACTTCCCCTGAGGAACCGAAACCTTGACTTTCTCTTTTCTGCTTTGAGGGAAATCTCCTGTGGAGACTGGGGAGCAGCAAGAGCTGCGCTATCTTGTCTCCTTTATTGATTACCATAGTACCCACAAGAGATTGAACCATAATTTTAATGTGTCCTGTGTAGTCTGAGTCTATGACCCCCGGGACTACTATGAGACCCCGAAGGGCCGTGGAGGATCTCCCGATCACCAGACCCACGGAATTTTCGGGTAACGGTCCCTTAAAGGTGGTTTCAACCACTTGAACACCCATATCAGGCACTAATATAAGTCTGGAGGCGACACTGAGGTCCACACCTGCTGACCCAGGGGTGGCCCTTGTTGAAGGCTGCCATCCTGAGCTGTCCTGTCTCTGGGGCGGGGGCCCGCCTGTGAAGGGGGCCCCCTCTGGCCGTTTTTTGGCCCTCTAGCATCTCGTCCACAAATACGGTTGCCCTGAGCATCAAAGACCGACCTACACTCCTCAGCTTTGTGTGATCCCCTCTTGCATCGCCCACAAACATATGGTTTTTCATTCCTAGGGCGAGGCCTAGCATCTGCATTGTTTGGGCAATGACGTTTAATGTGTCCTGGCTCCCCGCAGGCAAAACACCCTTTAGCCTTACATTCCCCTTCTAACCCGCGAGGTCCCCTCTGCTGTACAGCCGCAGCCAGGAGAGCAGCCACTCCCGAGTTGGAGAGCGGCCCCCCTATCTCTCTACATATCCTAATCCAGGCGTTGAGGTCCTTGTTCTTATGAGGAGCTATCGCTGCCTTGCACTCCTTTGTACATTGCTCAAAAATCAGCTGCCTTACCAGCGGTCGAGCCACTCCCGGATCAGAAAATATCTTATCGGCAGCATCTTGCATTCGGGCCACAAAGTCAACAAATGGCTCTGTGGTACCCTGAATTACTGGGAAAGAACCCTGCGACTCCTTATCGAGCGACTTAGGCTCCTGACAGCTGGTCTCTTTGGCCTCCTTGCCATTCAACTTTCCCTCGTCCTCGGAGTCAGACGACTCCGAGGGTAGAGCCCCGTCCTTCTCCTTAGCATCTTTGTTCCCCTTGACGGGCCCCTCTCGGGAGCTCCCCGACTGGGCCTGCTCAAATACCCTGCGTACTTTTGTAAGCTCTTGAGAGCTTTCTCCACAACCACCCTCGCTCTTAGTGTTGCTACCTAGCATGTTTCCCATCTTTTAATATGTTACTCACCGCGTGAGGCCCAAGGAATCCGCCACTTACGCGTGAGCCTGAGGGGAGTCTAAAAGCCCTGTAGGTGCGCGCCACCCAGAGCCCAGGCTTATCCCCAACTCACCTGTCTCGCAGCTCTGTACTGGAGCGTTGTCCGCTGTCACGTCTCGGGGGTGATCAGTCCCCGTGCGGGCCTCCAAATGTCGATGTCCGCTCCCGGCCGGCAGGAAGGACACACGACAAAGTCTGGCAGTGGACAACCTTTTCTTTTATTTTTCTTCTCCGTACAGCCTGCCCTGGGATCGCTCCCAGCCGAAGCCTCCTTTGGTCCGCTCCCCGCGGCTCCTTCTGGGCTTCTACTTCCGGGCTTCTTCTTCCCCCCCAGGGGTGGCACCAGTATATATACGGATACAGTGTCCAATCATGTTAAAGTAAGCAAGGCAAGCTGATTGGCTAACATCATCAGTTGCCAGGCAGACTATATTGTTGAGCGGGTTGCTTACGCGGTAAGCAGGAAACTAACGTGCTCGATGGGAGGGGTAATCTACCTCAGGCTTTACTCTTTACTACAGGCCTCACGTCCGCCAAGTGAGGCGACCGGGCTCGGGGCTGCGGCTCCCAACAAGTAAGCCAGTAAGGGTGCGGCATAAGAGAAAGAAGGGGATGCCTGGTCAGGGCCCCCGGCCCGCAGAGCCCTGTGGGCTGAGTAGGGAGAAGGCGCTGGTTCCCAAGGAAAACACCATGATTTTTAAGCTTTCAGAAAGCCCCTGGCTGCCTTGGGAAGTTGGGGTCGGGTGGGAGGACAGAGGTGTGGGTAAGCAGAGACACGAGGGCCGCAGCCAGGAGCCGAGGTGCCGGGGAGCAGAGCGGGGGATCCCCTTTGTGCCCCCAAACTTCAGACTTGTGTTCCCCAGCACTGTGACAGAACAGGTGTGTGGCCATTCGTTCCAACAGCCCTGTTCACTGGGGCAGAGGTCCCACAGTTAAATGCTCCCAAAGGGGTCGTGTCGTCCAGCCCAGGGTAAAGCGGGGAGATGGCGAGGGACACGGCTGGGGTTGGGTCCTTGACTGTGACCGTCACCCAGACGCTGTGTGCCATGGCCCTGTTCCCGGGAACTCGGAACTCAAAGTGACCCTCCTGCGTCAGCCTCCCGAGGGCTGGGATGACAGATGCAGCAGTGGCTCTGGCATTGCTGTGGAGCTTGGGGGGCCTCTGCAGGACCCCAAAAGCCCCTGGCTCCTACCTTTGTCTGCAGAAAGTGTGAGACGCCAGGCCGGGGATTTAGCTCAAGCGGCTTAAGTGCCTGCCTGGCAAGTGCAAGATCTTGAGTTTGATCCCTGGTACCAAAAAAAAAAAAGAAAAGAAAAGAAAATACGAGACTCTGCTTCAAGATGTTTATTTCTCACTGGGGAGAGGTTGGGGCGGGGGGTGGGGGGAATTCCAAGTGGCAGGAGGGCAGAGTCGTGCTAGTGCCCAGTGCCCAAGAGGCGACAACGGCCTCCAGGGGCTCCCCAGCCCTGAGGCCGCGCCCAGGGAGGCGTCAGCGGGGACAGAGGCTCAGCAGGTCTTGGTGGGAGCAGCCGGAGAGGCAGCAGTGCTGCGCGGGGCTGGGGGCCTGTGCCTCCCGGCGGCTGCGACGATCCTGCTGCAAAGTCGGGGACAGCAGCTGCAGGTCAGGGCCCAGCGCAGGGTCCCCGTCTGCCACCAGCCAGGGGAGATGTCGCAGGTGTTCACCTAGGGACACAGCGGGGTTGAGCAGGGCCAGGGATCCCAGAGGACAATCACTCCCCTAAAGCTCATATGGACAAGTTAAAAATAGGAAACACAATATATATATACATATATATACATATATATATATATATATATATTTTTTTTTTTGAGACAAGGTCTCACTAGGTAGCCCTAGCTGACCTCAAACTCTCAGGGATCCTCCTGCCTCAGCCTCCTCCTAAGTGCTGGACTCACAGGCATGCCCCACTGCGCCAGGCATCAGGAAGCACTATTAGGCACCTGCTGTATACTACGCACCTATTAAATGCCCTCATCCTGTCTCGGCTCAGTCTGCACTGCCACCGCGTGCCCCGAGCCCTGCTTAGGACACCTCCGGGTTCCGGGACCAGCCCCAACACCAATTCCTGCTCCTGGTCCCTGCAGCCACCCGGGTAATGGAAGGCAGTCGATTTTCTGCTTGGTTTGGTTTTGTTCTTTGAGTCAGAGCCTCACTGTCTTCAAGGCCACCTCACACTCCCCATGTAGCCCAGGCTGGCCTCGGAGGTGGTCCTCCAACCCCAGTCTTCTGAGTTGTGAGGTCATCACCACGCATGACTGCGTGCACCTGATGATTATCACCATGATTTTTTGTTTGTTTGTTTTGGACACAGGGTCTCACTCTGCAGCCCAGCTGGCCTTGATCTCACAGTGATCCTCCTGCCTCTCAGCCTCCCAAGTGCTGGCATCCCAGGCTCGCTCCGCATGCCCATGATTTTTAAATGAATTGCTTTAAACTGGGCACGATTTAGCAGGGCTGTCACCCCAGTACTCTGGCAGGCTGAGGCAGGAAGATCACAAGTGCAAACCCAATCCGAACAATTTAGCAATTCAGTGAGACTCTCAATTTTAAAAATCAAGGAGGTCAAAAGGTTGACATTTTAAATACAGGGATCCCAGGGTCTGGGGACGCAGCGGTCCATCCCATCCACATCCCACCGTGCGCTCTGGCCAGGAGGCGAAGCCCTGCGCCCTGCCACCCCTGGGAATTGCACGCACTCGCACCCCACTCACGCTCGCCTCCGGTCGCGGGCTCTGCAGCCTCGCGGGACCAGCGCGGGCCCCCGCACACGCGCACCAGCGCGCGCAGGAGGTGGCGGCCGCAGAGCTGGTCGCGCGTCTCAGGAGCGCGTGGTGACCCCTGCGCCTTCTGCGCGGGGAGCAGCAGCAGAAGCAGCAATAGCGGCATCGCAGACGGCTCCATGGTGACGGTGGCGCCCCGTGCCGCGTGCACCTGGGGCCTCCTTTATACCCCGGGCTCGCTGGGCCTTGGCCGGGAGGGAACACAGCGATCCTCGAGGTGGCCCGGCAAGGTCAAGGGTGGGACCCGGGCAGGAGCTTCTCCCTGGGCCTTGGCTCGACTTGCACCTCCCCCGAGGGGCCCCGCGCCGGGAGCCTGCCCTGGCCCCCTCAGAGAGGTGACAACAGGCTGAGGCAGGAGGAGCACTGCAAGTTCGAGACCAGCCTGGGCTACACAGTGAGACGCGGTCTCAAAAAGCCAAAATAAATAGGAGGTGAACACACAGCGGGTGTTATGATTATAAACAACTAAGTGGAGGTAGCCATGTGACAGACAGACAGACAGACAGACAGACAGGCTCTGGAAGGAGTCAGTGTGGAAGATAAGGATGCCCGAGAGCTGCGGCTGGGGGCGCATTCACCAAAGGCCAGAACCAAGGTACAGGTGTGGTGAGTGACCACCCCTGCGGCACTTCCCAAGGGGTGAGAAAGTGACCCATGTCCTGCATAGGCACCGGCTGGGGGGGAGGGCAGGACCTCCTCATCCATCTCTTCCCAAAAATGCCCTTGTCCTCTCCTGCAGCCTGGCTCCAGGAATGGCTCTCTCTGCTGGTACTCCTACTGGCTGGCACGGTTTGTCCCACCCTGTGACTGAGCTCTGTAACACTTCCTCAGAGAGGTGGGCTTGTGGGGGGCCCAGGTCCCCTCCTGTCCCTCTCAAGCAGGAGCCGTCTCTCCGTCAGTAACAATAACGTTGCCTCCTGGCCGTGTGTGGTGGCGCACCCTTATCATCCCAGCACTTGGAGGCTGAGGCAGGAGGATCACCACAAGTTCGACACCAGTCTGGGCTGCACAGTGAGCTCAAGGCCCGCCTAAACTGCACAGGGAGACCCTGTCTGACAAAGACAAAAAGATTTAAACATCTTTTCTCCTCTCTACCCCATTGTTCTCAGGATTCATTCTTCAACTTGGGGGAGCACAAACTTGGCCTACGGCGAAGCTGGCAGGTTGGAGGTTGCAGGGCCTCCCCTGTCCCCCACCCTTCAGAGTGCACCTTGGCACAGGCTTGTCATCCGGCTGCTCCACAGGCTGAGGCAGGAGGGTCTCTAGTCCGAGCCCAGCCTTTGCATAGCGACTTAGCAAAACCGCGCCTCGAAAACTAAAAAGGGGCCAGGCCACGCCTGGGACACACATGTGTGCGGGGTGCGTGGGCGCCTGGGGCCAAGTGTGCCTGCTGCTGTACAAACAAAGAAACTGGGGCCCTGGGTGGGGACCTAGACTTTCCTAGGATCACGGGGGCTGAAGCTATTGCCAGCTCAGGTTCCCCCGCGCTGAAATAGAGTGGGACTCAGCCCCTCCCTACCCCTTCTGTTCGCATCCAGCCTTTGGCCAAAGAGAGAAACTGAGGGTAACAGCCCCCACCCGGGTCCTTTGTGGGGCTCGGAGCCGGGGTCGGCGCCCATCCCCATCTCTGTGCCAAGATGCAGCCTTGCCTTGTGACCCCAGGAGCACCCCGTTCCTTCCACACAGCTGGCGCCTGTGATTAGTGCCGTCCGGAGTGAGCCAAGGCCGCAGCTGGGCCGGAGGACAGCTCTGGCCTCCAGGGCCTGGCCAAGGCCTCCCCAGCTGCACCTCCGCCAGCAGCTGCAGTCCCACCACATTCCTCCAGCCTCCCCACAACCCACGTTCGACCACAAAGCATCATTGCAATCAAACACCTTTATTCACTCAACAAACACACCCTGAGCCCACTCTGTACCCACCCAGGCCTCAGCTCAGCCCCCAAGGATCCCTCACATCAGGGGAGAGAGCTGAAGGGTCTGGATTGAGTACTAAGCACAGCAAGAATAGGGGCACATAAAGGCAAGCAGTAAGGACATCACAGGTCAGGCTTTGGGGGATGAATACGAGTCTTCCAGGGTGCCGGTGAAGTCACTGCCCCGTGAACGGACTTCATGACCCAAGGTCAGGTCGCCAGGGCCAGAGACAATGCAGACACCATCTTGGGGATGCAGCGAGGACAGATTCTACCATTGGGACCACCAGTTGGGGTGGAAACCAGGTCACACATCCGGCCACTACCCCCGGCTTCCGCTCCACAGCGCCTCCAGCTGGGGGCCCAGGGCGCTGAAGGTAGGCCGGTCCTGCGGACTGGGCGCCCAGCAGCGGCTCATTAGCTCATGGACCTGGGCAGGAGACAGCAGATCAGCTCTGAGGAGTCCCAGTCCAACCCAGCAGCTCCAGAACCTCCCGCGGCTTCACCGCGGATGGACTCCTCCTGCAGCCTCCCTGCCCTCAAGCCAGCCTGACCCCACCCCCACCGCACCCCTGCACCCCCACCACGCTTCCCAAGGCTTCACTGGTTGTTCTGTACCTCAGCGCTTTTTATACTTTAAGACTGGGCCCCGCTGAACCGCCCTGGCTGGCAGAAGCTGGAGGACTCGCAACCCTCCCGCCTCAGCCTCCCTAGTAGCTGGATAACGGAGCTTGCGCCTGTTCGCTTCTCACATTTCCAGAGCCCCGCACACAGCTGGCGCTCTGTAACTGTCAGTGGCCTCGGTGAGGGGTGGTTTGGTTTTTGGTCTTTGTGAGATAGGGCCTCACTGTGTAGTCCAGGTTGACTGCAAACCCCCGGCGATGCTCCTGCCTCAGCCTCACCAAGGCAGGGATGACAGGTGCCCGCCGCCATGCCCGGCCAGCCATTCACAAGTGTGAACCTGAGATCGCCCCACTTTTGGAGGCCCCGGTGACCTTGACTGGGCTGCGCCCCACCCCGTTTAGGAGCCAGGCACCCAAGGAGTCGGCAGCCCCGTTGCACGTGCTACCGCTCAGCTGTCAGCCACAGATAAGCGCTGCCGAGGGGCGAGCAGGGAAACTGAGGCAGGAAACTGTGCTCACCTGCGCGGGGCAGGCGGCAGGCGCTGGCAGCCTGCGACCCTCGGTCAGCAGCTCCAGCAGGCGGCACAGGGCGGGGGCGTCGCGCTCACAGCCCATCATGCGCAGGAACTCCTGGGGGACAGCGTGGGGGACAGCGTGGAGACAATGAGGGTTAGCGGGGGGGGGGGGCAGCGGGGGACAGCAGGCAGACGGGGGGTCAGCCTCGCGCCGGGGTCCAGGCACGGGCACTCACAGCCGAGGGGCTGCAGCCCGGGTCCCCGAAGGTGAAGAGTTCGTACAGCACCACGCCAAAGCTCCACACGTCCGATTGGCGCGAGAAGACGCTGTCCGCCAGGGACTCAGGCGCAAACCTGCGGTCACAGGGGGTGACGGTCACCGGCCTGGCCTCAGTTTCCCCCCCTGCCTCAGCTGTGGGCGGAGCCAGGTCCAACCCTTAGGGGTAGAAGGCAGAGCTCAGCGGAGAGCAGGGAGGGGCGGGGCCAGAGCGGGGGCGGGGCGGGGCGGGGCCAGAGCGGGGCAGGGGCAGGGCCAGAGCGGGGGCGGGGGCGGGGCCAGAGCGGGGGCTAAGCAGGAACCCGCGCAGAACTATGAAAGGCAGGACCAGAGCTAGAGGCAGGTGTGTTGGCCATGGCAGTGGGAGACCAGCTGGGCGGTTGGGAGGGCAGGGTACAGCCCGAAGGGGCCAGACAGTGAGGGGGAGGAGCCAGTGGTGGGTAGTGGGCGGGGACAGGGCAGGGCAAAGCGGGGCGGGGCATTGAGGAAGGGCGTGGCTAAGAGCCACAGCAGTGAAGGGGTGGGGCTAATCCTAGAGGTGAGCGGGTTTTGACTAGGGGCAGGGCTTGGGCAATAGGGAGGCCGGGCTAGGCTGGGAGTGAGAATAGGCGGGGCTAAGGAAAGGCAGGACTAAAAGGAGGCGGGCTGGGCAGGAGGGCGTGGCCCAGGAGGGCGTGTCCGTCTGGGGGCGTGGTCGGGCCGCTGTAGGCGGGGAGGAGAGGTGGGAGCTCGCACCAGAAGATGGGGCTCTGGCCGGGCTCGCGCACTACGTAGTAGTCTTTGTCGAGCGGCAGCAGCTTCGCGAGCCCGAAGTCCGCGATCTTGACATGCGCCTCGCTCTCCACCAGGATGTTGCGCGCCGCCAGGTCGCGGTGCACGCAGCGGCGGGCGCCCAGGTAGTCCATGCCCTGGGGGCGGGTGGCCGGTTGAGGCTGGCGGGTGCTCCTGGCTAGGGGGACCCGCCCCCCCCATCCCGGCCTCCGCGCCCGCGCACCTTGCAGATCTGGGTGGCGAACAGCAGCAGGCGGCTGGCATCCAGGCGCGCGCGGTGGCGCCGCAGGAAGTCGCGCAGGCAGCCGCAGGGCAGGTACTCCATCACCAGGCGCAGGCTCTGCCGACCTGCGGGCCAGGGCGGCGCTCAGCGAGCTGGACCCTCCCGGGAGCTGGGCCAGCCCTGCCCGCGGAGGCTGAGGCAGGTGGATCTCCTCAGCTCCCGGCCAGCCAAGCAGCCGGGGCCACAGAGTGAGTCCTAGGCCGGCCGGCCTGGGCTACATGGTGCGACCTGTCTCCAAAACCACCCTCCCCTCCCGCCCTCCCAAAACAGCCAGGCATGGCCAGCGCTCAAGGCTGAGGCAGGAGGATCTCCTCGAGTTTAAAGCCAGCGAAGCCTATATTAGCAAGTCTATGTCTTAAGAAACCTTAGAGCTGCCTAGCAGGACTGAACCCGCGGCCGGAAGGTGGAGCCCGGCCTCGGGCCGGTCCAGGCTCACCGGGGCCGTAGCTGACACCACGGTACTTGACGATGAAGTCGCTGTGCAGCGCCTTCAGGATCTGCACCTCCCGCTGGAAGTCCCGCTGCTGCTCCGGCCCGCTGTGCTGCAGCTGCTTCACGGCCACCAGGGCGCCCGTGTTGTCACCCAGCGGGTCGTAGCGGCACAGCTCCACGCTGCCAAAGTTGCCCTGGGAACAGGGGCGACTGGGGATGCGGCGCCTGCCCCGCCCCAAGCCCCTCCCCAACACACCCCTCTCCCAAGACAGCACCCTGCCAGCCCAAAGCCCCGCCTCCCCTACCCAAAGCTCCGCCTCCCCACCCCAAGCCCCGCCTCCCGGGCCCCAGCCGCACCTTGCCCAGCTGGGAGATGTACTTGAGGTGCCGCTCCTCGAAGATCGTGGGGTCCTGGCCGGCGTTGAGCTGCGCACTGATCCACAGCCGGTCCTGAGGCCCCAGGGCCCCTGGCGCAGGGTCAGAGAGGAGCTCGTAATCTGTGGACACAGGTGGGCAGCACGGTTGGTCCGGGCCCGCTCCTGCGCCTGCCTCTCCATCATAGCCAGGCCCTGGGAACCTGAGCAGTGCACACTCTGTGCAACCGCACTAGGCTGCAGCAGAGATGGAGGCCGCGGGGAGAGGTGCGGTGGGGGCGGCCCTGTGACCGAGCCACAGGGTGGGGGGGCACGAGCAGGACAGGGCAGCTGCCGTGGAGGCCCGCGAGAAGCTAGCATGGGACGCCCATGCCCTCCCTCTCATCCACAGGGCCTCAGCGGGGGCTCAGGACCCTTGGGTGGGTTCGAGGCCAGCCTGGACTACTGGGCAAGGCGCTATCCCAAGAAAAGAAAGAGGAGGAAGAAAATAAAAGCATAGCTGAGCAGAGGGGCTGGGGGAGGGAAGGGAGGAGGAAGAGGAGCAGGAGGGGCTGCCCGACCCGAGGTGCTGAGGCTGTTGAGGTCCCGGATGACGGCGCGGAAGCTCGGCCTGCGGCCCGGCTCATAGTCCATGCACTGGCGGATCAGCGCGGCCAGCTCCGTCCACCTGGGCGCGGGCAGCTGCCGCCGCTCCTCGTAAAACCGCAGCTTCTGCGGGGCAGGGGCAGCAGGGTCACCGCCTCCCTCTCCCTCGGGAGGCCCAGCCCCTCCCCGTCCCGAGCCTCCGGCCACTCTGACCTTGGCTGGATCCAGTGAGCGCGTGGGCACCGGGGCCCCGCTGAAGACCTCCCAGACTGTGGCTCCGAAGCCCCACTTGTCAGCCTCCAGGCCCAGCGTCCGGGCCTCGTCTAGACACTCGGGGGCCACCCAGGGGATCCTGTCGGTCAGCACTGAGGACAGGGATGGGTCAGGGGCGCCCTGTCCTTCCAGTGGCTCCGCATGGGGCAATGGCAGAGAGGGTCTGAAGAACAGATACTCCATCGCACTCCTATACACTCTGCAAAGCCCAACCCCAGACACTCACTTTCCAGGCTCAGCACAGTGGGGCTGACACCCGGGTCGCTGAGCTTGATAAACGGTGGGCTCCCGTCGGCCCCCTCACGTGCCAGCAGCACCTTCCTGGCTGAGACGTTGCCATGAGGGAGTCCTTTGTCCTCCTACAAGGAAGTGCCAAGGAGGATTTGTTAGCAGAGCATCATGCCTCACTTGTGCTGTCCTGGCCTTGTCCTTTCTTAAAGGCTGTCCTCCCTGTTATGGCTCCCTATAGCTTTGGAACAAAATCAAACTTCTGAGCCTTGAATTCAAGGCCCCTGCTCACTCTTCTCTTGGACTGCCCTTCTACATCCCCACTCTGGTCTCCTGCCAACCAAGCTGCCGGCTGGGGCTCAAGATGTGCAACACACTTTCCAGCCTATGGCCTCTGCCTCAGTTTGACAGGCCCTCCTCCAGTGTTCCTCTTGGTGAACTCCTACTCAAATGTCAAAACCCCAACTCCAGTGTGCCCTCTTTGAAAAAACCGTTGCCCTTTGCCCAAGCCTCACTCACTCCTCCCCCTGATATCCAGAGGTGACCAGTTGTCCCCTTCCAGTGCTGACACATGTTCAGCTACTTTTTGTTCTAAAATTCCCTCCCCTTCCTCCTTACTGGACTCCTATCCATGCCAGAGCCCATGCTCCATTTCCCCTCTATCCAGAGCAAGCTGCCTCTGGGCCAGGCAGGTGAAGGAGGTGGAGAAGCACTCACCAAATAGTTGAGGGCGTAGGCCAGCTGCTTGGTCACCTGCAGCTTCCAGCTAGCGGGCACCAGGTGGCTGCGCTTACGCAGATAGGTGTCAATGGCGCCCAGGGGCACAAACTCCTGCACCATGGTGCCTGGCACGAGCAGGATGGGGAGGGAGGAGAAGAGCACTGTGTGCAGCCAGCTCCGCCCCGGGCATCCCAGACCCTGCCCCCCCCCTCACTGACTCACAGGCACTCACGCACAGGTGGCGGGCAATGTGGCTGGCACTGCCCACCCTGCAAGCCCCCAACCCAGTGTCCCCACCTGTGGAAGACTTTCGAGCTGCCTAGCAGGGCCTGGGATGTGCAAGACACATTCTAGCTTGCCAGTCTTTGCCTAGGGCATTTCTCATCTCAGTAAATTCTTACTCAAATATCAAAGGCCCAACTCCAATGTGCCGTCTTCTGAGGAAGCCTTTCCCCTTGCTCAGCCCTCCCTCAATCCTCCCCCTGATATCCATGGATGACCAGATGTCCCCTTCCAGTGCCCTCACACCTCATAACCTTCATATGCTGTTTTTTTCACCCCAAAAATGACTTCCCCTCAACCTTACCAGATTCCTATACACACTACAGAGCCCACCCTGCCTTGTCCCTCCCACAGAGAGAACCACTCCAGGAACAGACACAGCTACTGAGGGGTGGAAGGAGGAGGCAGGGGTAGGGCGCAGGGGTCTCACTGTCTCCAGCCATGCACACGCCATGCAGCAACACGAGATGCGGGTAGGACACTTGGCTCATCAGACTGGCTGCTTCCAGGAAGGACTGGGGAGTGGGAGGGGCGAGATGTGTGCATCCCAAGAGGCCATGCGGTTCTGACCCCACGTCGCCCACTAATGCATGGGTGAGTCCCACTGAGCTACATTGCTACCCTTTGTGTTTCTTTTAAGACAAGGCCTAAGTCACCAACGTTGGCCTCTACCTGGAGACCCTCCTGCCTCAGCCTTCTAGGCAGCTGAAACCACAGGCGCGTGCTGTGCGTGCCGCCATGCTGGGCTCTGCACTTCTCCACCCCGTCCAACCTCACCTCCACCAGGTTCCTGTGTTCTGCATCCAGCACCTTGAGCAGCACCTCGGTCTCCCGGGCCTCCCCGTCCACGTCCTCGTGGCGCGAGCCACGGTAAATCTTGGTGAAGGAGCCGTGGCCCAGGTTCTCATGCTGGCAGGGACAGGAGGAGCAACTGGTGAGAGGCCCCATTTGATAGAGGAGGACATGGAAGCCCAGGAAGATAACAGAGCAGGCCCGAGCCCCAACCGTACCCATTGCAAGCTGTGAGGGGGAATCTTCTGGAAGGTCAGCTGGCTCAGCTTGGGCTGCACCGAGGGCTGCACAGGGGCCAAGGTGGCTGGGCCACAGCCCCTCCGTACCACAAGCAGGTTGGATTTCTCTGGGGACACAGTGGAAGGGGAAAAGCAGGGGTCAGAATCGGAGGGTCCCGAGAGTCTATGTCGTTTCCTGACTTAGTTTGGGGGACCCAGAAGTCGACCCTGAACTGCAAGCTCCGTGGAGTTGTTCCTTAAGGCCACAAAATCCAACCAGCTGCGCCTATATTGAGCCATACCTGAAGGCAACAAATCCACCCTAGAGCCCATAATGCAATCGCATATTCGCCTCTACGCCACCAGGACCTGCAGTGTAGGTTCCTGGCCACCACCCAGGAGCCATCAAGGACGAGGAAAGTCGGGGCCGTACCTTTGGGTGTGGGGGGGCAGCAGGTGGTAAGTCTCAGGGCCACGCCGTCCACACACAGCGTGTCCTCGCGGCAGGCAGCCAGGAGTTCCCTAAGGCTGCCGTGTGCCCGGCTGAGGCCAACCAGGGAGAAGCTCCCAGCAGGGTCGCGGTGGATGAGGCAGCCCTTGTAGTCGGGACCCAGGGGCGTCTGCAAATGAGGGCTCCTTCAGGGCCGGCTGGAGCTTGACTCTGACATCCTCCAGCCTCAGCCTCCCGAGCAGCTGTGAGCCCAAGCATGCGCCACCACCCTGGGCCCAGGCAGCACCCACAAAAGTCCCCCAATCCCGGGCCCTCCAGAGGACAACCCACTTGAACACAGGCTGTGAGCAGAAAGTTGTCAAAGTCCTGTGGGCTGCGGCGAAGCACGTAGGAGCCTGGGACTGAGCCCTGGGCCTTCAGCTTGTGGACGGCAAAGTCCAAACTGCGGAGAAGGCGGGATGCAAAGGCGGAGGCAGGGAGACAAAACTGAGGCTGGGGCTGAATCCAGTCTCTCTGCAGGCTGCGACCCACCGGCCCAGTGACACAGTGCCTCCCGCCTCAGTCTCCGCCTGCCTCGGCCTCCCAAGCCCAGCCGCACTCTGAGCACTTGACCCTCGGCCAGACTCTGGTCCTTACGTGATGGGGCCGTGGCAGTGCTCTGCCACCTCCTCCAGCAGCCGTGGCGGTGCCACCTCTTTGCAGAAGAAGTGTCGCGTGTCGCACGTTAGGCGGAAGTAGCCGTCCACGAGCGCCACAAAGGACAGCGCAGCGCGCAGCGCCGGGAACTCGGCCTCCTGAGGGGACAGGGTCAGTGAACTCCGGACACGCCCGCCCCCACCCCAGGCAGGGGCCCCGCACCCACCAGGATCTTGTTGTCCGCGCGCGTGATGGTGACCAATCGGTGCTCCCCTGCCGGGCCTGCTCGCGGGGCCTGCTTGATGCTGATGTCCACGATTTCTGGGAAGTCACAGAACTGCTGGAAGGCCTGAAGGAGGGAAGGGGCGGGACTCACCTTGGCCACGCCCCCACCGCAAGCCACGCCTCATGCCAGCCCACCCTAACAGGTAACAGCCTGGCCACAGCACGCCCTCCTCTCCCTGCGAGGCCCCGCCCAAGACACGCCCACGTCCTCAATGGACACGCCCACTCTGCAAGACCAAAACTGGGACCTCCCCCACACCCCTGACAAGGGAGCCTGTTCGCCGGACTCCGCGCCTCTTTCCTGCTTGTCCCTAGCCCTTTGGAGCCACGCCGTCTGCTCTTAGCCTGGGCCACCACCCAGCGCGCTTCCTTGCTAGTCTGTCTCATTTATGTCCCCGCCCCCTGTCCCGCCCCTTCCCCGGGCCCCGCCCACTCCTGTTCTTTCCTCTTTCTTCCTCCCTCTTGCCCCAAACACGCCTGACTTTGCTCCGCCCTCCCCGGCAGACCACGCCCCATCTAACCCCGCCCACCTCTTGGTCCTCTCCCCAGCCCCTCCCATTTCGGAGCCCCGCCCACCACACAGCTCCTCCCCCTCCAGGAGACCCTCCCGAGCCCCGCCCACCGTGGTGCACCCATTTGGCCGCACCCCTCCTGACCACGCCCTGCCCCCCACCCCACCCCAGCCCGAGCACCTCGGCCTCCCCCGGGCTCCAGGCGATGCCGCTGCCCCCGGCCACGCGCAGCAGCCCGAGCGCGTCCTGGCCGTCCGAGGCCCACGGGAGTCCCACGCGGAAGGTCTCGGTGGCCCGAGCCGGGTCCAGCCGCTCCAGGTCCATGACGTACTTGGCCATGAGCGAGTGCTTGTCGGCCTGGCAGGAGGCCACGCGGCGCAGGGCGCGGCGCACCGTCCTGCGGATCCGCTTGCGGGTCACGAAGCTCAGGCCCTGGATGAGGTCCCGCAGGCGGTGGGGCAGGCAGGCCTTATAGCTGCGGGAGACCGGGGCTCAGGGTCGAGCCCAGGGGACCAGTAGGCCCAGGCTGGGACAAGACGGGCCGCGCCCGGGCCCCACCTGACAGTGCGCAGCATCTCCTGCGGCGGCCGGCCCTGCTCGCGGGCCATGCGGGCCAGGTCCAGCACGGCCAGGCTCAGGCACTCGCCCTGCTCCTTGAGGCTGAGGCCCACGGCAAGGCGCCCGTTCACCAGGTCGCTGCGGTGCTGGGAACAGGCCACAGGCGGGGTCAGCCGGAGCCCCGCCCAGCCGCGAGCCCCGCTGTTACCCCGGTGACCCCCACCTGCGCAAAGAGGTGCTCCAGGACGGGCAGGTCGACGATGGAGCTGGCCAGGTCCTTGCGGAGCCCGAAGCGGTGGCATTTCTCCAGCCCGAACCAGCTGGGGAAGTAAAAACTGGGGCAAGGCGGGGGAGGGGGCCTGAGGATGGCACCTGGGCCTGCTGTGAGGCCTGTGGAAAGTGTCCCACTCACCCTGGGCTCAGTATCCCCATCTGTGTAATGGGCAGTGAGAGTGCTGTCAGGGTACAGGGAGATTATAAGGGGGTGATCCCTGGGAGGGTGCTTCCTACCGGAGCCTGTAGACCAACGTTTGAGAGCCCAGATCCTCCACCGAGAAGATGTGGCTTGGAGGGAACCAACAAGACAGGTCCTCCGTGGCCAGTGCAAAGAGGGAATGGTACACAGGCAAGATGCCTACCGAAACCACACGTCAGCTTCCTCCTAGGCTACAATTCACGCGCCTAGGCCTCAACTTCCCACCCTTCTCCTGAGAAAACACCTACCCATCATCCCTCTAAGCCCTAGCTGTGATGCCCACTCCTGCAGACAACTAACCATTCCTACTTCCAGTCTGGGCCCCCTACAATCCTATCTTTCCCTCTTGCCCAGCCCTTAGGGATCCACTTACCGCTGGCCTTGGCAGCTTGCACACATAGCTCCTCAGCTGAGTGGTCCCCAAAGGAGAAAGATAGGCGCTGGGGGGGCCCAGGGCCCCTGGGAGGCAGCAGCACATGCAGAGCCCCAGCCTCTGAGGATGAAAGGCTGCAGGAGCGCTGAGAAATCAAGGGTGTCTCCTCACTTGGGGGCGCCATGAGCGCAACCTGCTGGGCCCAGAGAGCACAGAGCCTCAGCTTGATAATGCCAGGACAGACATCACCAGCTGACCACAGCTAGTCTACCTGACCCTCTATCTCCCTGGCAATCCAGGGCAGGCATGAGTAACTGATCCCAGGTGCACTGATTTGCCTGACCAGGAACTGCAGGATGGTGCCAGCACATGCCTGTGAGAGGGGTAGAGGGATGGGGGCCAGGGGTGGTGGCCATCTGAGGCTGGGCTGTGTGGCGTGTGCTTGGGAAGGGTCTGATTTGATGACTCAGCCTGGAAAACTCAGGGAGGCCCCATCTCAAAATACATACAGCTACGGTGTGGATCAGTGAGCCGTCCTGAGTTCAATCCCTGTAGGACAAAACAAAACAACCCGGAGGCTGAGACAGGAGGACTGTGGCAAGTCTGAGGCCAGCCTGGGCTACCCAAAGAGTTCAAGGCCAAAAACTCTGTTCCAAAATAATGACACACACACACTGGCTGAAGTGAGACACAGCTTTTTTTTGTTTTTTTGTTGCTGTTGTTTTGGTTTTTAGGATAGGATCTTGGTATTTAGTCCAGGCCGGCCTTAAACTCACTGTGTAGCCCAGGCTAGCCCAAATTCACAGTGATCCTCCTGCCTCAGCCTCCAGGGTGCTGGGATGACAGGCATGCGCCCCTATACCCAGCTTAAAATACAGGATTAATGTTTTAGGAAATTCACAGTAAGAGCCTCCTACTGGGGCGTGAGTGAAAAACCTCAGACTCTGGGTTCAAATCCCAGCGGCATGGCCCCTGCCGTGCAAAGACCCCAAGGACCCCTCCTGCAGCTGTGGGGGGGCCTGACTCTCCTTCCTCGAGGGAAGGTAGCCGCCTGCACACAGCCCTGGCTCCAAGTATCACCGCGGTTCGTGTAACCCCCGGCCAGGGTTCGGTAAACGCCTGTTAAACCACACACAAAGGGAGGGAAGGGCATCCTAAGAATCCAGGCGCTCTGCCACCCAGCCACACCCGTAGCACTACTTGTGGTTAAGTATGGATCTCAGAAAACTGCCCAGGATGGGCTTGGATTCAAGATCCTCCTGCCTCAGCCCCCTGAGTAGCTGAGATTACAGGCCTACACTACCATGCCCAGCAGGAAACATAGTTATTATTTCTGTTATTAGCGACAGTGAAAAAGGGAAAGTCCCTGGCCCTCTGCTCCAGCCCGGGATCCAAAATGAGACCACAATCCCCACCCCCACAGCAACCCAAGACGCATGCGCCAGGGTGGCCCGTGCGCAAGTGTGGGGATCCCCGGCATCAGTGAAGGGTCAGAGCGACACCCAGAGAAGGACCTGAGGGGCCCCAGAATCCTCCAGCAGCGCTGCCATGCCCCAGCCATGCACCCCCTTGCCCCGCACTGGCTGGCCAGAAACAGGAGCCCGCCAGCTCTTACCTGGCACGGGGACCCTGGACCGCCGACAGGAAGGCAGGCTGACAGGAAGGCAGGCCGGGAGGCAGAGACAGGAAAGTCCCACTGCTGCCTTCCTGTGTGGGCTCCTCGGCTTCCTGAGCTCTGTAATTTACCGAAAGTCAGGCCCACGAGAGGGAGGAGGGTGACAGAGCCCAGCCCGGGGCAGGAGGGCTGGGCTGGCAGTGACGGCGGTGACTGCCACCCGGCCTCAGACTCTCAGCAGGCTGCAGGTTGGCTTGTGGTCCTGCAAGCATGGTGCCTCGGTTTACCCTCCTGCACATGCGTGGGTTATGTCCCCTGTGAAACTCCCGTGGCACACGGAGAGGGGAACCAACTGTCCTGGCTAAGCAGGAGGCCCTGCAGCTGCCCTGGCCAAGGCTCAGTCCTCCTTCGAGAGCCTTCTTCAAGGACCTGGGGCGCAGGACTAAGGCCCTGCACCAGGTCCTTCAAAACCAAACAGCCAGGCGAGGTGGCACACATCTTTCATCCCAGCACCGGGGAGGCTGAGACACGAGGATCAGCATGAGCTCGAGGCCAGCTCGAGCCACATAGTGAGACCTTGTCTCAAAGAAACCAAAAAACAAACAAAAATCCTCAACAAAGCCTCAGCAGCCCGGGCCCTGCCCAGGGGAGCTGAAAGTCTCAACATAAGAAAGGAGATAATGAGACACTGTCACCCAGTGGTTATGTTGGGGCCCTCGGAGTCCCAGGCAGGCAGGCAGGGGGTGGACCAGGGCATCCCGGGCAGGCTGGGCTGTCCGGGGACACAGCGCCCCTCAGAGCTGGCCAAGGGTGGGCGGCGTGGGCTAGGACAGGGCCCGCGAGCAGGCACCCAGCCAGGCTCTGCTGCAGAATGTCACTTTCCCTTCCGGGTGGCTCCAATCAGGGCCCCAGAGACGCTGCAGCAGCAAAAAGGTCAGTGAGTTTGTGGGGCGTGAAGGACTCCTTGGCATCGATGTCCGGCATGCTTGATCGTAAGCCACAAGGAAGGAGGGCTGAGACCAAGGTGGCACCTTCAGCCACAGAGACAAGCCACGTGACAGCCCCATGAGGAACTTCCAGGGCAAAGCCCAGAACCCCTCCAACAAAAGCAACCTGTGATTCAGGTATCCAAAAAAAAATGGGGGGGGGGGGTGATGGGATTGAAGCCAGGGCCTTCACATCCAGATAACCCACAGCCCTTTCTATCTTTCATTTTGAGACAGAGTCCTGCTAATCGCCAAATGACCCCAAGTTGGGTTCGTGATCCTCCTGCCTCAGCCTCCCAAGGTGCTGGATAGGTGTGAACCACCACACCTCAATTTTTTGCTTTTCACTTTTTTGCTGTTTTTGTTTTTCAAACAGGGTCTCCGGATGGAGTTCGGGCTGGCCTTGAACTCACTATGTAGCTCAGGCTGGCCTCAGACTCTCCAACACCTTCCCGCCTCAGCCTCCTGATGCAGATGCAAGCATTGCAGGTGTGCGCCCCCACACCAAGTGCTATGATCTGTGTTGTTGATTTGCAGTTGGGAGTCTCTGTGTCATTCAAATTGCCTTGTATCCTGGGCATAAATACATTCAGTTTCAAGAAGAGCTGTGCCCTCGCCTGTCTGTACCACCGTCATGGGGTGTCTCAGTATGGATGGAGAGAGTCCACAAGGGCCTCATGGGGGGTTTTTTGTCTGTTTCATTTTTATCGGTACCGGGGATCGAACTCATGACCGCCTGCTTACAAGGCAGGTGCTTATGCCCCTGAGCTAAATCCCCAGCCAAAGGCCTCATGGTTTCATGGCCAGGACTTTTGAAAGGTGACCAGCTCTGACTTTTTGGGGTGGGGGCTGGCGGGAAGAGGTGGTCCCTGGGGGCGTGGCCTGGCTGGGAGACGCTGTCTTGGGGCGTGGTCTGAGGGGCGTGGTTTGGAAGGGTTTGGCGCAGTTTTGCAAACTATTGGGGCGCCTGTGAATTGCATAAGGGATCCATCCTGGGCATTGTGGACGATGACATGAATTCATCATGATGTGTCAACTTGAGTAGATAGGAACAGCCAGCAAAGTAAAACAGAACAAGATTTAAAAACAAAAAACCCAGCCAGGCCAGGCTAGTGGTGCACGGCTGTCATCCCAAACCGAGCCAGGAGGATCCTGTAAATTCGAAGCCAGCCTGGACTACATAGCAACATCTTGTCTCAAAAAAAAAAAAAAAAAAAAAAAAAAACAAATTAATGAGTGGCTTGGTGCCTGGGGCTAAGCATGTTATGGGAACCCTGAGGTGCGGAATCACAGAACTTGTAAATCTCTGGAAAGAGGAGATGAAAACGCGGTCTCTTCCGTGGAGGAAGGAGTGATGGTACATGCAGAGGCAGTCATCACAGGTCTCAGTGAAGAAGGTGGCTGGGGGCTGGGGATTTAGCTCAGCAGCATAAGCACCTGCCTTGCAAGCAGGCAGTCATGACTTTGATCCCCAGTACCGATAAAAAAAGGAAAAAAAAAAAAAGAAGAGAAAAAGAAAGTGGCTGGGGTCCATTTGCAAGGAACAGGGACGGCCTGGGCTTAGTGCATCTTGCAAAGGGAAAAAAAATGCTTTAAACTAATTTTGTGTCCTAACATGCAGTTTTTATATATACATGCATATATATGTATATATATTTTAAACAGAGGTATTGCATTTTGTTTTTGTTTTTGTTTTGGTACAGGGATCAAACTCACAACCTTGACCTTGCCATGCCAGTGCTTATGCCACGGAGCTAAATCTCCAGCTTGTTTTTATTTTTGTGAGACAGGGTCTCACTGTGTGACCCAGGCTGGCCTCAAACTCCTGCTAATGCTCCTGCCTCAGCCTCCCAAGTGCAGGGATGACAGGCATGCACCATTGAGCCAGCTACATTAAACTCACCACCAGAAGAAACGGAAGATGGGGAAAAAGTTATTTTTAATGTCATTTGTAGCAGTAGTGAAAGAAAAAAGTTAAGATATTGCTGTGGGCAATTTGTATCACCTAAAAATTCCTATGCCAAGGCCCAGAGAGCAGATTGAGGGCAGAGGGTGTGCCTAGGATGTTCGAGGCCTACGGATCAATTGCCCTGAAAAGAATCAGAAACAAGGGTCTGGGGATTTAGCTCAGTGGCATAAGCACCTGCCTTGCAAGCAGGCAGTCGTGAGTTTGATCCCTGGTACCAGTAAGAAGAGAAAAAGAAAAAAAAATCAGAACCAAAACTCACTCATACTGATGTTTTTTCATCTTTTTAAGACAGGGTCTCGCTACGCAGTTCAGACTGAATTTGAGCTCACTTTGTAGCCCACACTGGCCTTGAACTCACAAAAATCCTCCTGCCTCAGCCTCCTGAGAGCTAGGCTTATAGGTGTGTGTTACCCCACACCCAGCTTCCACGCTGACTTCCTACAGACATGTTTTACTGTCCTTACTTCCTGAGCAATAAAAGTGTAGCGACAGTTTACCTAGCAATGATGTCAGAAGCTGCGTAGAGTTTGCAGAAAGTCAGCAGGAGAGCGAAGGATGCACCTGGATTCAGGGCAGATGTGAGGGCGCTCCAGTGGCTTTGGTCTTTGGTGCCCTGGGGTCACCCCACTGTGGAGGTATACAGACGGATATGTATGCAGAGAACGCACCCAGTTTGAAAACAAAAAGACAAACAACTCAAGAAAACTACCAAATTGGACATGGTGGTGCACATCTGTCATACCAGTGCTCAGGGAGGAGGCTGAGGCAGGAGATGGCAAGTTCCAGCCCAGCCTGGGCTACTTAGGGAGCCCCTGTTTCAAAAAATACAAAGGGCTGGGGGTGCCGCTAGCATGAAGGTCCCTGTGAACAAAAAATAGCCCAAAGACTTAAACAGACCTTTCACCACAGAGGCTTATAACAGGTCAATCAGCACATGGGGAGACACGCAGTATTATTAATCATCAACAAACCACAAAGAAAAGTGACAGTGAGACAATGCCTCACGTCCACCTGGGGGGCAGCATTCATTCTGGGTTCCACCTCAGCACCCAAAAAAAGCAAAGAAAAAACTGGGAAACTCAGTTTTGTTCCTTCCAGGAACTGGGCCATCCAGAAATAACATGTGTATCTTGATATTCATGGTGGCACCCTTCCCTTTGGCTTGGTTTTCTCAGGGTGGTGTTTTTTCATGGCTTTTTGTTTCTCAGTAAGCTGCCTCACTCGTGCTAGGCCCTGAGCTGCCCCTCCAGCTTTTTTGGTTTTATTTTGAAACGGAGTGTCACTGGGTAACCCAAGCTGGCCTCAAGCTTGAGATCTTCCTGCCTCAGCCTCCCCAGTGCTGGGACCACGGGCGTGCGCCACCACGCATGGCTGGCAGGCATCTCTGGAGGGGGCTCACTGCGGAAGAGACCCGAGGAGCCCAGGTGGGCATAGGAGAGAGGCAGTTCCTGCTGTATCTCCCCTTGAGCCTATCATGTTTTTAGTGTGTCAGGGCATTTTATCATAATCCTGTTTCAAAAATAAATATTTGGTTTTAAAATAAAACATATCTCACTTCAAGAAAACAATGAGTTATTGGAACTGTGGGCCAAAGGTTGACCAGGAAATAAACAACAAAAAAATTTCACATTGGCGTTAAAACCAGCATGCCCGGAGCATGTGAGCAGCAGTGGGGCTCCGGGGTCTCAGACCACTCACCCGGCCCGCCCAAAACAGAGCCTTGATCCCGAGGCAGGGGAGGGACACTGAGGCACAGACAAGAACAAGACGGGAGCGGCGGCTCTGCTCCCTCCCCCAAGGACAATGGGCCCCAGGGAAAAGGCTGTGAGTGTATTTTTCTAATTTTATCTTTTTTTTGTCCATTTTCCCCATCAGCTACCGGGGATTTTTATTTTGATTTGGTTTTATTCCTGGAGACTGAGGAAAAAACCCTGAACCCCAGAAGTACTGAGCTGGGGGCTGAGGATTTAGCTCAGCGGCATAAGCACCTGCCTTGCAAGCAGGCAGTTGTGAGTTCAATCCCCGGTACCGATAAAAAAGAAAAAGACAAAAAAAAAAAAAGAAGTACTGAGCTGCATCCAGCCCGTCATTTGGAGGCTGAAGCAGGTGGATCCCTGTGAGTTTGAGGCCAGGCTGGGCTACAAAGTGACTTAAGGCCAGCCTGAACTGTGTAGTGAAGCCCTGTGTCAAAAAATTAATTAAATTAATTAAAAAATAAAAATAACTTGTCCAGGCTGGCCTCAAACTTGCATCTCTCTTGCCTCAGCCTCCGAAGTGGCCAGGTCACATGCACCAGCGCTCCCCTCTCTTCTCCTTTCATTTTTTTGTTTCTGGGGTTCTTGGCATGAACCTGAGCACCTCTGGCTTGCTGGGCAAGTGCTGCCCCACAACTGCGCCCCTGGAGGTTTCTGTTTTGGGGTTCATGGGGGGTTGTTTTTTGGTTTTCCAAGGAGGGGTCTGGCCCTGAGGTCCAGAGGCTCCTGCCTCACGCACAACTTAGGAACGCAAAGCCGGCTGAGCCTCGGACATGTGCGTCCCATTCTCTAGCTGCGTGGTCACCATGACCAGGTCTCATAGACCTGCGGGCTCAAGGCCAAGGCCAGGCTTCCCTTCCCCCCAGCCCAGCCCCTTCAAAGCAAAGACCACTGTGTTCCAGTGAGATCAGGGGCTTGCAGCATCACCTCGTACTGGCCCATCCCCTCCCCACAGCCGGAGGGAAACTGAGGTGCAGAGCACCTCTTAAGGATGGAGAAACTGAGGCCCCCACAACCACACGCCAGAGAACAGTCAGTGGGATTTGCATCCCAGGCCCCACTGGGTAAACCCAACCCGAGCTGCTGCTGCTCCCTGCAGAGCAGAACCTCGGATTAGACAACAGCTCCCTAGATCTGGCACAAGCAACACGAAAGGGGAAAAAAAAGATAAATTGGATTTCATAAAATTACACTTTTTGCTGAAGGACACACACCCGTAAGCCCAGTACTCGGGAAACTGAGGCAGGAGAATCACTGCAAATTCAAGGGCAGCCTGGGCTACATATGGAGACCCTGTTTCAAAATAAATAAATAAATAAACAAACTTTTGCCTGCAAGAGCTTCATCAAAGCAGTCATTCCCCACATTGTGGGAGGCTGAGGCAGGAGTATCCCAAGTTCCAGTCCTGCCTGGACAATTTACCAATTTAGTGAGACCCTGTCTCAAAAAAAAAAATTTTTTTTTAAAGGGCTGGGGATGGAGCTCTGTGTGAAGGACCTGAATTCAATCCCCAGTCCTGGGGGAAGAAAACGCAAAGGATTTCCATAGACTCATCTGCCAAGATGACATAGAAATAGCCAACCTGGAAAATAACTAATCAGAGTTAATGCACTAGCCCAGCCCTCAGGGGCCGCGCTTCCTTTGGCACCTTGCAGGAAAACACTCTCCACTGCGGAAAAACACAGGCCCCAGCCCGGGTCACTCCCTCTTCCTGTGCCCCAGGACGGCCAGAAAACTCTGAAGATGTTGTCAGGTGTTGTCGGAGTGTGGCGCATGGGAACCGTCGCCCCCTGCTGGGGAGAATGTAAAATGGTGCAGGCTCCGGGTTTGGAAAACACTGGAGTTTCCTCCACTCTGTCTGGAGCCGCATAATCCAGAAAAAGTGAAAACTGACACAGCAGAGAGGAGCGTGCGCGCGTTCTCAGCAGCTGAACCTCGGAGACTCCCCAGAGCTCAGCGCCCAGGGCACACCTGGGAGTCCGGTGTGCGGGAGGCTGAGGCAGGAAGATCGCTTTCAGGCCACAGCCCGCCCGGGATGCAACAGCAAGATTCCGTGTCAAAAAAATAAACAAATTAAATTAAATACCAGGATTATGCAAGTGTACCAATGCCAAGTAAATGTGAATGTGTGTCAGCAATATACTTGCAACCCTTTGATAGTACAGTTTAGTTATTTTGAGATGAGTCTCTATGCTTCCCAGGCTGGCGTCAAACTCCTGGGCTGAAATGACCCTCCTGCTTCAGCCTCCTTAGCAGCTGGGATCTCAGGTGCATCTCTCTATGCCCAGAGGATTGTACGATTCAGTGAGTTGTATCTCACTTATTATTATTATTATTATTAATCAGGGGTAGGGACGCTTCCAGGGCTCTGCCAATGCTAAGCAAGAGCTCAGCTACTTAGCCACACCCTCAGTCCCGGGTATTATTAAATTTTTAGGTTTCTGGAGTTTGTTCGTGTGCTTGTTTTGAATCAGGGTCTCACTACACAGCCCAGGCTGGGCTCGCACTCACAGTGATCCTCCCGCTGTGGCTTCTCCACAGACCAGGACTACACGTGGGCGCCTCCACACCAAGGATTAAATTTTAATTTAAAAAGGAAAAAAATGTCAATGGGGGGCACGTATCATCTCCTCTAACAGCCCCTCCCCTTACCAAACACCCCTGGATATCTTCCTTTCTGTCCAGCTATGGGTCATTGGTTCCTGAAACTCACAATGATCTTCCTGCCTCAGCCTCCCGGAGTGCTGGGATGACAGGCTTGGCCAGCACCCCGACCCCGCCCCGCCCCCACCCTTGCTTTCTATTTGTTTGTTTTTCTCCTTGGAGGGCCCAGGACTTCTTTATGCCTGAGAAAAGTGCTCAACTGATGGATACGGTTTTGTTTGCTTTTTGTTTTTGTTTTTCTGTCCTGGGGCTGGGACCCTGCTCCTCTGAGCAGTTGGCACCCACGCTTCTGGGCCAAGATCTGATCAATTCAGGGACGCTGGCCCTCCCTCCCACGGACCCCAAGACCTAGAAGAAAAGGAGCAAGGAGGTGGGTTCGAGTCTCTGCTCACCAAACCAACACAGAACGGACCCCGAACAAGAAGGCTCAGTCCAGTGCTTAGGGGCCTCAAGGAACATGGCTAGGAGAAAAGACAGTTTTCTCCCCAATGGGAACTCTGCAGTCCATGACGGCGAACCTTTTAGAGACCAGCACCCAAACACAACCCAAAATCCATCCACTCACTTACCACAAAGTGCCAGCCCTGCAATTAAACCTGGATAATGAGGGTTTTAGCTTATAAAAGACAAACTCATAGCTGGGCATCGCGGTACACACCTGTAATCCCAGCACTCAGGAGGCTAAGGCAGGATTGCTGAGAGTTCCAGGCCAGTCTGGGCTACACTGTGAGCTGAAAGCCAGCCTGACCTGCATAGCCAGACCCTGTCTCCAAAAGACACACACACAAAAAAAACCTCATACATTAACATTTTTGGTCACAAGAGCAAAACACAGAACTTTTAACGATATTTGTATTGATAAAGTTTTGCACGAGGCGTGCTTTTGCACCATTCGTGTGATCCCTGCCACTGCAGGCATGCTCATCATTTGCACACCTGGGCTTCCACCCCCTTAGTTTGAGAACAGTAAACACAGCACTGCGACGGGGACATAGCTCAGCGGCACGAGCACCTGCCTGGCAAGCGTGAGGACATGAGTTTGAACTCTGGGACCCACCCCCATCAAAAAATACACACAGCACATTTCTTTCTCTTATACCCAATGTGCTGTATAGTAAGTTCCGGATTTAAGACCAAGTTCTATTCCGGAGGAACACTGGAAAGTCGGGTTCACTCGTAAGTGCAACACCTTGACTCTCACAGCTCTTTGACACAAACACACCAAGTCCATTGCTCTGCGGTCCCCTAGCTGTCCCCACCACAGCACCAGGGCTTGGCCTCTGGCTTCCGGGCTCCAGCTGAGCACCACCCTGCTGCACACTGTCTTGGGGTCCTGTAAGCTCAGCACAGCACCACGGCAACGGCGTCAGGCAGGCACGGGAGTGACACTGGGACTCGCTCACACCCACGAACGCTCCTAACGCCAGGGTTTTCGTCCATCAAAGTTCACACCTTGCCTGTTCTTAAGTCAGGGACTTACTGTAATTCAAAGCCGAAAACAGCTGCTCGCAAGCATGAGAGGACCCGAACAAAGTCAGAAAAGCAATCGCGAGGGCTTTCATCGACTTAAAGTTATCTGGCAAAGAGTTCCACACTTTCAGGATCTCATGTTCAGAGCTGCCGACTACGCCGTCCTCTGCCCGACCCTCACACTCTGTCTTCTCTATCTTCTCCAGAGTTGCACGCAGGTCACAGAATTTATCTTTCCAGATAGAGTTTTCTTGAAATTCCACTAGCTCCATTTCCAGATTTCCATAATCTAACCAGCGCAAACAGGAGAGATCCAGTTCTTCGAATCTGGCTTTATCTGGAGACGTAAGAAAACACAGGGTCGTCTCCATCTTACGGAACTGTAAGAATCTCTCAGCAAAATTCTCCTTCGCAATTGCTACGGCCCTAGAAAATTCCTTGCAGGTTTCCTGCTGGCTTGAAGGGCTGTCAGCAAATGGAGAATTTTCCAAATGCATTTTCAGATTCGGAAAATATTTAAGCCGCCCACTTTCAAGGTCTTTTTCAAAAACCTGCAGTTTTCTCTCAAATGTTTTGATATCGCAAAACATCCTCTCTGCCGTTTTCCCTACGCTTTGTAGTCTTTTGTTCAGCATGCTGAAGTGCACTGTAAAATCTGTGAAAAACATGAGACTGGTGAGCCAGTCCGTATCGGTGAGCTGTGGGTATCCCTGCCCGTTTTCATTCATAAACAGTCTAACTTCCTCCAAGCAGGCTACGAATCTCTCCAGGACGTGGCCTCTGCTCAGCCACCGGATACCGCTGTGCATCCGCAAACCATCATACTGCTCCCGGACCGCAGCAAGGAGTGCTCGAAACCGTCCAGAATTCACAGCATGAGCCAGGATGTAATTCACCATTTTTGTGACATCTTTGAGGATACTGTCTAACTTTTGGCGGCTTTCCCCAGCACAAAGGGCTTCTTGATGTATAATACAGTGAAACGGAATGACTGGATGCTTCGCTTCTTTAACAAAGAACTGTATGAAGCCAGAAGTCGCCCCCACCACATAAGGTGCCCCGTCACTCGTAACCGAGACCACTTTTTCTGGCCTGATGTCTTGGGACAAAAAAGCCTCCATCACAGCATTGTAGACATGAATCCCTTGTGTTCTTCCAGGCAAAGACACCAGCTTCACCAGCTCTTCTCTCATGATGTCACCAACAGCGTAACGTAAAATCACCGCCAGCCTCCCACGATTATTTATGTCTGTGGTCTCATACAAACACAGGGAGTAACAGGCCGCCCTCTGTAAGTCCGTGGTGAGCTGCTGACTCACATCACTTGGCACGCACAGGGCTTGATCTTTAACAGTATTTCTGCTTAATGGCATCTCAGAGATGCGTTGCATAATTTTATCCTTGTTTGGGAAATCGTGAAAAAGGGAATTACTCCCAGACAGCATGGCCATCTTGATAAAATCCCCGTCAGAGAAAGGCTTTCCGTGTTTTGCTATGCACAGTGAAATCTGAAAGCTGGCAGCCGTCAGATACTGGGCGTGATATTTCCTCAGTTTCCCTTCAAGAACCTCTTTCCTTTCAGCTTCACCAAGTTTGGCCACACTTTTGTGGTTGCTGTCAAAGTGCCGTCTGACACTTGAGGTGCGACACACAACACTTACATTACACAGAACACACAACGCTTTCCCATTGCGTTCGATCACCCCAAATGACTCTGTCCAGGCCTCTTGGAAGGATCTTCCACTATCTGTTTTCAGTTTTGCTTTTTTTGATGTAGTCATTTTGGTAGGGTTCAAGGCTTAGAGTCTACAAAAGCACACAAAAAAATTTTAAAATGAAGTACGCAATATAAAGTATCCCTATACCAAAAACAGTTAACGCTGAAGAATTGCATATTTCCTGAATCCACAATCCACTGCCATGGTTAATTCCTCTCCAATTTGCTGCCCACCAGCGCAAAGGGGCGATGTTCCCTGACCATCAGCTGCTGGCCAGCTCTGAAAAAGCATCAGAAATCATTTCCTACCTTGCAGGGGCTTCTAAAATCACAGCCGGTCCAAGCAAATATTTACCCTTCCTCTTGTTTTTCATAAACAGGATGCTTCCGATTCAAATATGCCAAGGGGTCAGCACAACAATCCAAGAATCAGTCATTTAAATTAGAACGCCTCTTTGCTAAATCTTAGATATAACATTTCAATTTTTCATAGCAAAATTAAAATCTAAAATCTTGCATTAATAAAAAGTAAATCTATTAAAACTCACAGCCAATCCAAGCAATATGTAATAAATATCCTTAGCCGCGCACTAATTGTCCAAGAAAAAGCTTTAAAGCGTCGCAGTTCCAGACGTCATAGCCTGGCGCAGCTATTTCCTTCCGAGCATGCACATTTCCCCTAGCTGCGTCGCTGTTGCTCCACCGTTGGGAAGACTTGGCTCACAAGCGGACAGATCAGGCTCTTGTGTCTGCTGCGACACGCGCGCTACAAGCTTGCCACAACTCTTAGGCACACGGCTTGAGACCTCCTTGACACACCTGCCGAGGAAAAGAGGCCTGGAATGGGAATATCAGGAAAGCGTCAGGAAATAGGAACATAGCCACCGATGACATCAGATTGCCTACAACTCCCAGCGTGCCACGCGTGCCCCTAGGGACTCTGAGGAACAGGCGGGGCTAGCTACGCTGCCTTCTGGGAAATGTAGTCTCTGTAGAGAGGTGGTACTGAGAGGTTGTAGGCAGACCCGGAGCCAATGAACAAGCCGATCTCTTTGAGTGCAGGAACAAAAAAACCAATAGGGTCGCAAAGCTTAGAGGGCGGGACTTCCGGCAGTGAATCGTAGTGAGCGGCTGCGCTAAGTAAGGTACTTCCTTTCTGTGGGTGGCGGCCAGCGGGAAGGGATCGCTATGAAGGCCTCGGGCACAGTAAGGCTCCTGCGGCGGGGTCGGGGGCCTGGCACCGCGGCGCAGGCCCAATCGGGAGCCCGGGGAGGTATGGTGGGCCGAGGCGGTGGTGCGGCGCTCCCAGGTCCCTCTGACCGCGCGCCGCTGCCTTTATGCGCCCGCAACATGGCGGCCGCTGCAGCGCCGCGTGGGGAGCCCGGGTCGGGCCTGGTTGGCCGGGGAGCGTTCGCGCGACCGGAGGGGCCGGGTCTGTTTCCCGGGGAGGGGGATAGGAAACAGGATTCACAGGGCTAGGCCACGTACCTGGCGGAGCCACAGTTACTCTGCAAAGGGTGGGAAGAAATACAGCACGACCGGGGAAGCAGAAGAAAATCATAGACCTAGCAGAAATCAGCAGCACGGGGCGCTTATCATCCGCACTGAACGAACCTGGATGAGTTCCGCGAGAGTCTCCAGCCTGATTTTCCTCGCCAGGCGAGGAAGGCGATTAGGAGGCCGGCAGGCCGCGCTGATCCCGGGCAAGATCCTCCTGGTTATTTCTACTCGATGTTAATAAAAAACAAAGGTCGTTCCCTGAGGAACCTTTGCAGTTTTTTCCCCCCTCTAAAGATCGAGGCCAGGGCCTTCCCGGTAGATTTTGAGGCAGGGTCTCCATACGTCCTAGGTTGGGTTTGAACTTATATTAATTCCTTCAACTTAACTCTCAAGGTGCCAAGATAAAAGGCATTCGCCGAATGCTCAGCCCCAGGGTCTATTTTATTTGTTTTGTTTTGTTTTGTTTTGTTTTGTTTTGTTTTGTTTTGTTTTTTGGTACCAGGGATTGAATTCAAGACCTGGCTCTTACCAGGCAGGTGGTCACACCACTAAGCTAAAGTCCCGGCCCGTGTTTCTTTTTTCTTGTGGGATGGTTGGTTGTTTTTTTTTGATACAGGGTCTGGTTCTGTGTTCAGATTGTCCTAGCCTTGAACTCACTATGAATCCTAGGCTGGTTTTGAACTCATTGGGAACCTCGTGCCTTAATCTCTCATGTACTGGGTTACGGGCATGCACCACCACCCCCAGCGCCCAGTTCTTTATTTTGAGACATTCCTGTTAAATTGCCAGGGTTGGCCTTGAACTTGCCTTCCTTCTGCCTTGGTTTCTCAGCCTGCCAAGATTACAGGGCTGCCACCAGACTCAGACTCCTTTGCACCTGCAGCTGGGGACTGGGTCGCACAGCTCAGGACAGACCTGGACTCTTGTGCCTGGGTCTGCCTGGAGTGGGCTGGAAAACCCCACGTGACACTGTTTCACAGGTGGCTGTGTTGAGTCACAGAGTGCAGAAAGGAAGTTGCTGGCCTGGGCCCCTAGCCAGGGTCACTAGGGGCCCTCACTCTGCGTGTGGTGACACTCGGGTTAGCTGTCCAGGGTCCTGGGGTCCTGAGTGGTGGCCCCACCCTGCCTCTTCCCTTTCAGCTCCGGGAATACAAAGTGGTGGGGCGCTGCCTGCCCACCCCAAAGTGCAGCACGCCACCGCTCTACCGCATGCGGATCTTCGCACCTAACCATGTGGTCGCCAAGTCCCGGTTCTGGTACTTCGTGTCGCAGCTGAAGAAGATGAAGAAGTCTTCAGGGGAGATCGTCTACTGTGGGCAGGTGGGGGTGGGGGCCGCTCCTGTCACCTGGGGTGGGGGAGCCCAGCTCAACCAGCTATTCACTGCTGTCAAGGGAACTGTCTCCAGCTCTCCGTTCTGCAAAGAGGCCTGCCGGCTGGGGTGCTGAGGCTACAGAGTCTGCCCCTGTGGGGGTCCACTGACTGCTGTCATCTGTCCCCCTGGTGCCAGGTGTTTGAGAAGTCTCCTCTACGGGTAAAGAACTTCGGCATCTGGCTGCGCTATGACTCTCGCAGTGGCACCCACAACATGTACCGGGAGTACCGTGACCTGACCACAGCGGGCGCTGTCACCCAATGCTGTAAGCAGAGGGCTGGGGTGGGTCTCATGGGGTCCCTTTCTAAGGCCAGCCTCCACCCCACTTGCACCTCAACCCAAGAACCGCCACTTCCCGTAGTGACGGTTTAAACAGGGGTGCACATAGTAAGTGGATCTCGTCGCCTTTGGAGGGCTGTGGCTGTGCCCACCAAAGTGAATTTGGAGGTTCCACACCCCTCTCTGCCACAGTCTATGAGCTCTGAACCTGAGCACTGTGTCCCCCACATTCCACAGACAGGGACATGGGTGCCCGGCATCGTGCCCGCGCCCACTCCATTCAGATCATGAAGGTGGAGGAGATTGCAGCCAGCAAGTGCCGCCGGCCGGCCGTCAAGCAGTTCCACGTGAGTGCCACTGACGCAGGGTGGAGGGAGGGGGGACATGGGCAGCCATGCCTGGGTGAGCCCCAGAGCACTTGGCAAGGGCCCTCACCTCTGTACCCCCACAGGACTCCAAGATCAAGTTCCCGCTGCCCCACCGGGTCCTGCGTCGCCAGCACAAGCCCCGCTTCACCACCAAGAGGCCCAACACCTTCTTCTAGGAGTGGCCGTGGCAGTGCCAATAAACTCAGCACCTGCACCTGGCTACTGTTTTCTTTCATGTCCTGTGGAGCACAGCAAGGGGTCCCCAAGGGGCCACTGAGCTGGACACCGCTCCTGCAGGCCTCATAGACCAGTGGCCTGGGGCCCCTTCAGCTCAGGACCTGGGCTGTGAGGCTGCTCCCTCTGCTCTAATCCACATAAGGAGCTTAAGCCTGGCTTCAGTGCCATCTCCTAGAAACCGAGAATCTCAAGCATGTACCGCCTGCTGGGCTTCTTTGGGGCATTGGCCTGGCCTGGGGGTGGGAGGGTCACCAGAGGGCCCTCAGTGTCCACAGCAGTGACATCGCTACCCCAGCTGCAGACTGGAGGGGTCACTCAGCAGTGGGCAGAGCCCTCTGCTGCCACAGCCCATACGGCATGGCCCTGGCAGTGGTGCTCCATGTTGGACTAGCCATGCCTCTGCTGAAATTGTGCAGACTTGCATTAACCTATGGATTCAGGCTCAGACATCTAGTTACCCTACATAGAGTTCTTTTAAACAGCTGCCTGTGGAGAAGCCTCTGAGGAAAAATACTCATTTCCCAGCCATCCTTCTGGTCGTAGTACCCATGTGACAGCAATAGGTGCCATTTGTAGAGCAGATGCCATACCTGGATCCCCTGTGCTCCAGAGTTGTTAGATCCAAGGCTCTCGTGGGTGTAGTGCTATATTCCTGGCTCTGTAGCTGTGCCAGGAAGGATCCCTGCCCATCCTGATCTAATGTGAGTGTCCTGTGACCTCAGGCCCTAGGTGTCCTGAGGAGAGAAGCAGAGCCCAGCTCAGCAAGGGCTGCACTGCCACCATCAATCACCATCCTGCCTGGGCTACACAGCCACCCTCAAAAGCTCATGGGAGGCCATCCAGTCCCCATCTCTGTCCACCACCTCCATCTACTCAGGTTCCATCTGCTGTCCATCTGCATGGGCTTCCTTTACCCCACCCCCAGCTCCCTGCACCTTTTTTTTTTTTTTTTCTTTCTCCTTTTTATCGGTACCAGGGATAGAACTCACAACTGTCTGCCTGCAAGACAGGCGCCTATGCTGCTGAGCTAAATCTCCAGCCCCTCCCCCACCTTTATCCATGGGTCTCAACTCTTCCAAACACTTAGTGGCTGCAGCTTGAGGTCCTCCTGCTTCTCCTAAGCAGCTGAGATTGTAGGAGTGCACACCACACCTGGTACTCTGGCTTGCTTAGCTGCTGTCACATCAAAGGGGGAAGGTGGAGCACAGACCCTGGGCTTTCCTGACGGGCCCCTCCTTGACAGCTAGGTGTCACCTGGATGCTCGCAGGGGCGATCTGCATAGTGGTTAAGGTACTGCCTGGTCCCAAGGGCCAAGGATTTGAGGACAGCTGCTGAGCTAAGTGGCCAGGAACCTGTGTCAAGCACTGCCAGCACCACAACCACAGAGGACTTGGGGATTGCAGGGGCCTTGAGCCCCAGGACCCGGGTTCACGTCCCACCTCAAGGTCTGTGGTCACCCCCAGAAGATCACACTTTTATAATTCCAGACCCACACGGCTCTGGCCGACTTTGAGGGGACTAGAACTCCCACGAGGCTCCGAACTAGCTCCCAGGACTCTCAGAACCGCCCCTGGGCCTTCCAGCCGCTCCCCCATCAAACTCCTGCCTGCCTCCCCTCCTGTGCGCCGCCGCGCCCGGCTCCTCAGCCCTTGCCCCACCTGCGGACCCCACTGCCAGGGAAGGTCCCCTCCCAGGCCCCACGGAGCGTCACCCCGCCCCACCCCTCCCAGGCTGTCCCCGTCTCCCGCTGCTGCCCGCTGGAGTGGCCGGCTTAGTGGCGCGAGCCCGCGCACCCTGGAGCCCGCTGTGTCCCCTCGCTGGTCGCCCAGTGGCCCCCAGGACTGGGGGAAGGCAGCCCTGTGCCCACGCATCAGCAGGGTCGTCCGCATCTTGTGTGGAATTGCGTGCATTTCCCAAGGGGCCCCCAGCTCCGTTCTGCAGTCAAATGACGCCAGGAGTGGACTGCACAGCGGGGCACCGGCCGAGCCCGCGGCAGGGAGCAAACACCAAGACGCCCTTTGGCCCTGGGACACTGGAGGAGCGAGTCCAGGGAGCTGGGGGCCCGAGGGGAACCGAACATCCAGGGTCGCTGGTCTCTAGGTTCCCCAACTTCACTCTCGGGGTCTCCAGGGATCCCGGCCACCGACGGCTCACGACAGTGCCCGACTGCCAAGGCCATCAGCAGGTGAATGGGCTCCAAACTATTCCCCAGAGCCGCCTCATCACCACTTACAGGTGGGGAAACTGAGGCCAAAGGAAGCAAAGGTTCCCCCTTCCTCAGGTTCCCCATTCAGGACCTGAACCCCCACATCTCTCTCCACCCAGGGGTGATGCCCCTCCAAGCTTCAGGCAGAGTAGATCCAGGGTGCCAGCTGAGGGATCTGCACCCCAACCCTAACGGAAGCCCGACCCTGTCGGAGTGAGCTCCCTGTCGTCCAGGTATCCAAGTGCAGTCGAGCGAGCTGAAAGCCAAAAGCAACTGCGTGCTGCCCACCTGTCAGCAGGTGACAGGGACTGACCAGGGGCTAGGGCCAAGGATGGGGACTGGGGCGGCCTCCCCGTGGTCTCTCCGCAGTGGCCACACGGTGGCCACTCCAGTGCTGCTGTCCCAGCCCGGAAAGGGTGCAGGTCGCGCCGCCTCTCGGTCTAGGGGCGGAGCCGCCCTGACCCAGAGCCCAATAAATCAGCGGCCCGGGCCAGGGCCCACCGCTGTCAGCCCCACAGCGCCCAGCCTGGTGTGCTCCTCTCCTCGAGCACCGCGCGGCCAGGGGCACCGACAGCGGGGACAGAGGCGCCGCCGAGCAGACAACGCGAGCCCGGGACCCCCGCTCCAGCACAGATGCCGGCCGCCGGGGCGGAGGGGACTCCGGCCACCTTTGGGCCCTGGGACTACGCCGTCTTCGCGCTGATGCTGCTGGTGTCCACGGGCATCGGGCTGTGGGTGGCGCTGGCGCGCGGCGGGCAGCGCAGCGCCGACGACTTCTTCACGGGCGGCCGCAGGCTGGGGCCGCTGCCCGTGGGGCTGTCGCTGGCCGCCAGCTTCATGTCGGCCGTGCAGGTGCTGGGAGTCCCGTCCGAGGCCGCGCGCTACGGCATCAAGTTCCTGTGGATGTGCCTGGGCCAGCTGCTGTGCGCGGCGCTCACGGCCGCGCTCTTCCTGCCGGTCTTCTACCGCCTGGGCCTCACCAGCACCTACGAGGTACGCGAGTTCGGGACCGCAGGCGGCGCGGGGGAGGGGGGCGCCGGCGTCGGGCCTGGACACGCACGCACCTGCCCGCCCCGCGCCCCGACGGGCGCCCGCAGCCCGGGCTCCAGCCGGCTCCGCCTCCCCGCCTTCGGCAAGGGGTCGTCGCTAGATCATGCCCCGGGACGGACTGAGGCGGCGGGAGTCGTGCCCGGTATGCAGCAGGCGCCAACGGCGCTGGCCGCGGGCACGGGGCACAGCGGGAGCGCGGAGCCCTGGGCCAAGAAAGCGGCCGTGTAATTGGGCTGGGGCTGGAGGGCGAGAATCCCCGGAGCAGAGAGAGGGGGATCTCAGAATCCCCGCCTCAGTGACTCCGCGTACGCGACTCCTCTTCCAGTATCTGGAGATGCGCTTCAGCCGCGCCGTGCGCCTCTGCGGGACGATGCAGTACCTGCTGGCCACGGTGAGCCGCCTCCTCCTCGCCCCGCCCCGCCCTGCCTCGTTTCTTCTGGCTCCGCCTACAGCCTGTCTATCATTCTGACCACGCCCCCACAATGCCCATCCTACCCAAACGCAGCTCACACCTTCCCCCAGGCTCCGCCCACTGCCTGCCCCCTTATCAAGACCACGCCCCATTCAACTCGGCCCCGCCCTTGCGCGGGCCCCACCGCCCCGCCCTCTCCCCAGGTGCTCTACACCGGCATCGTGATCTACGCGCCCGCGCTCATCCTGAACCAAGGTGCGTCAGGGGGATCCGGCCGAGGGTCTGAATGGAGACGGGATTGGGGGGCCCTCGGTGACAGCGGCCTCACGGCGCCTTCTGCTTCTGCACAGTGACTGGTTTGGACATCTGGGCCTCGCTGCTGTCCACCGGCGTCATCTGCACCTTCTACACGACTGTGGTCAGTGGCCCGGACACTCGCGGGGTCTCCCTACACCCCCCCCCAGCCTCCCAAGCCCAGTCCTGTCTGGGCCTGGGTTTCCTTCTCTGTCAAGCGAGGGATCTGAAAAGCTCGGAGCCGCGATCCATCCGCGCCCGCAGCTTCGCCTCGTCCTCTCTCCGCTATCTGGGCCCACGGCTCCAGGCTGCTCTCCTGCTGCACGACAGCGCCACAAGCCTGGCCTTGGCAGAGCTCCCGGCCCGGCCCTTGAACCGCCCTAGCGCGAACCCCGCGGGCAGGTCTTGCTCTTCAAGAGGTGCTCTGATAGGCCAGGCCTGCGTGGGGGCAGAGTAGAGTCGGGGGCGGAGCCAGTCTCCTGGGAGACTCAAGAAGGGGAGGGGCACTTCCAAAGAAAACTCCTAGGCCGCTTTGGGGAGGCTGAGACAGGAAGGCCTGAAGGGCAAAAGTGACACAGAATGAGCATCATCGTGATAACATCCACGTGGTGACCCTCCCTAAACACCTTTGGGTGCTCAGCACTGTGCCAAATCTTTGTCACTTATTAACTTACTTAATCCGCACAACAGGGTTGGAATATCCAATTGACCCCATTTTACAGATGGGGAAACAGGCAGAGAAGGGCGTCTGCCGTCCTAACCAGCACAAGCAGCCAGGCTGGGTGTGCCCCTCGGGCTGCTGCCCTGACCCAGACAGACACAAGGCCTCTCTCCCCAGGGCGGCATGAAGGCTGTTGTGTGGACCGACGCATTCCAGGTGGTGGTGATGCTGAGCGGCTTCTGGGCAATCCTGGCCCGCGGGGCCTTGCTTCTGGGCGGGCCCCGGCAAGTGTTCATCCTGGCTCGGAACCGCTCCCGAATCAACCTGCTGGAGTGAGGAAATTCGGAGGGGGAGCTGGGGTGTTGGACGCTGGCCTTGGGAGGCGGAGGCAGAAAGATCGCGAGACCTGGCCCAGCGAGTTCCAGCCCTTAGCGATTTAGGGAGACCCTGTCTCAAAAAATAAAAAGGGCTGGGGATGTAGCTCAGTGTAAAGGCCTTGGGTTCCCTAGAACTGCAAAAAAAAGGAGAGGGACAGAGGATAAAGGAGACGGCATCGCCTCTGAGCTTCTGACTAAGCAGGGAAAGAATGGTTTGTAACTGCACGGGGGAAAAAAAAATCAATCTGGCAAACTCCTACTCAACCTCCAAAACCGACTCCGAAAGTCCCTTAAGGTTCTGAGGGCTCTCTGGGACCCCTGGGAAGATAGCCAGTGTCTCATCCTCTCATGGCCAACTTGTGCCATCCCCACGCAGCTTTGACCTGGATCCTCGGAGCCGCTACACATTCTGGACCTTCGTGGTGGGCGGTACACTGGTGTGGCTCTCCATGTATGGGGTGAACCAGGCGCAGGTGCAGCGCTACGTGGCCTGCAGCACGGAGCGGAAGGCCAAGCTGTGAGTGCCCTGAGGTGGGGGCACAGAGACTCTTGGGGAGGGATGTGGCTGTGTCCCTCGCCCACCTGAGCCGCCTCCCCCCCCCAGGGCCATCCTCATCAACCAGCTGGGTCTGTTCCTGATTGTTGGCAGCGCCGCCTGCTGCGGCGTCATCATGTTCGTCTTCTACAGCGACTGCGACCCTCTGCTCACCGGGCGCATCTCCGCCCCAGACCAGGTGAGCCCCCTGCCCCCTCTGCAACCCCGTGCTTGACTCCAAGCCCTAGTGGCCGGCCTGTGTAGTCGCTCGGCCTCACACAGTCAATCAACAAACACAAACCCACCGCCCACCGCGATTCTCCAGGTTGAGGGGGGGGGAGTGGCCAGGGCAGGCACAGGTCCCTGCCCCGCTCTGCGCCGTGGTCCCAGCGCGTCCTCCCGCCCCAGTATATGCCCCTGTTCGTGCTGGACATCTTTGAGGACCTGCCCGGCGTGCCCGGGCTCTTCCTGGCCTGCGCCTACAGCGGCACCCTCAGGTAGGCGGGGGCCAGCGGGCTGGGGGGACACGCGCGCGCCCCAGCTAAGGCCCGGTCCTGCGCAGCACGGCGTCCACCAGCATCAACGCCATGGCAGCGGTGACCGTGGAGGACCTCGTCAAGCCGTGCCGGCCCGGCCTGTCGCCCCGTCGCCTCGTGCTGGTCTCCAAGGGCCTGTGTGAGTTGGGGCTCCCGGGCGGGGGTCCGGGGCGCCGCGCGCGCTCACTCTCCCGTCCCCGCAGCGCTGCTCTACGGCTCTGCCTGCCTCTCCGTGGCCGCCCTGTCCTCCCTGCTGGGGGGCGGTGTTCTGCAGGTGAGCGCCCTGGGGCCGGGGCAGGGCGCCCCCAAGTCAGCCTGCGCCCGCCCGCCCCCTTGGGGAGCCTGAGCCCACCCTCCTGCTCTCAGGGCTCCTTCACGGTCATGGGCGTCATCAGCGGCCCACTGCTCGGGGCCTTCGCGTTGGGGATGTTCCTGCCTGCCTGTAACACCACGGTGAGGGGCGGAGCGAGGGCGGGCTGGGGGCGTGACAGCGGCAGAGGTTTGCTGAATGGCTAAATCGCGATGTGGGCGGGGCCCGGGCTGGGGGGGCGTGGTAATGGCGTGCTGGGGCCTGGCGATTTTGGGGCATGTGAGTGGCTGAGTGTCAGGTGGGCGGGGTGAAGAATAGGTGAGGCCCCGCCCCTCACGCCGCTCCATCCCCAGGGCGTCCTCTTCGGGCTGGGCTCTGGTTTCTTGCTCTCCCTCTGGGTGGCCTTGGGCGCCACGCTGTACCCGCCCAGTGAGCAGATCATGGGCGTCCTGCCATCTTCGGCCGCAGGCTGTCTGGTCCCCTCCAGCAATACCTCAGTCCTTCTGGATGCGCTTCCCACTCTCAACGGCTCCAGGTGAGCAGGAAATGTGGGTGTGGAGCGAGTTCAAGAAGGGGAGCATCGGATCTGGTAGAGTCGGCAGGTGCAGAGGCCCTGTGGCCAGAATCGGCCTCTGCAGTGAGTCGGTATGAGTGTGATAGAGGCCCGATTGGAGGAGCCTTGCAGCTAGGGAGACACGATTCATGTTTGTTCATATAATTCATGCTATGAAATTAACCATTAAAAAAAGAAATTAACCATTAAAAGGGGTGACCTGGGGGTGGAAGTGCAGATCAGGGGCCAGAGCACTTGCCTAGCAGGCAGGAGGCGGCCCTGGGTTTAGTTCTCAGCACTGCAAGGCAAGGAATGGTAGCATGCAAAGATCGCCACTTTCTGGCACAAGAAATCCTCAGCCCCCGCCCCCCCCCCAGCCCTGGAGACCATTGGGGGTCACTTCCCACTTCCTGCGGCCCAACCCCTGGCAGCTTCGGAGTCACTGAAGGTTCCCCCTGGGGTTACAGTGTGGTCACCTCTTCACTGGCTTCGCTTCCTTCCTTCCTTTCTTTTAAATCAATTACTGGAGTTTTTAAAATGTGTATATTTAGTGATGTATATTTAGTGATGTGTATATTTAGTGATGTGTATATTTAGTGTGTATTTTTTGAGACAAGGTCTCGCCATGTAGCCCAGGCTGGCCTCTAACTTTAGGCGACCCTCTTGCCTCAGCCTCTTGAACGCTGAGATGACGGGCTTCGGCTCCAGCTCCGCGGAGGACCCGGGGCGGCCTACCCTGGCTCACAGCTTCTACGCTATCTCCTACCTGTACTACGGAGCCCTGGGCACACTCACCACCATGCTGTGCGGGGCCCTGGTCAGCTACCTGACTGGTGAGCGGGACGCGCTGTCTCCGCCCCTCGCTCTCCGGGGCCCCTCCCACGGGGGGGTGCCCTAGGGCGAGCGGTGCCCGGAGCCCAGCACCGGGTGGAGGTGGGGCGGGGCCTCGGCGCTATCCACAGTGCTGAAGGCGCTTTTGCTCTGGAAAGAGGCCACTGCTTGCCCCTGGGGAATTCCCCAGGCTTGGGAGAAGCAGAAATAACACTTTCAGCCAGGCCTCTGGTAAGTGCGCACTTGTTATCCCAGCACTGGAAAGGCTGAGAAAGGAGGATCACAGCGAGTTCGAGGCCAGCCTGGCCTACAGAGGACTGTCAGGGGAAAAAAAAAAAAGAGAGAGATAGAAAACAGATTTTAAATTCCTCAGGCTTTTTTCTAAACTGACCCCTCCTAGGCTCTGGGTACTACTTGAGTCATCCTGCCATTGATCTATTACAGTTATTCGCCTGGGCAGTTGGGGAAACTGAGGCTGGGGGCAGAGGCTTGCCAGGGTCCTCCAGAGCACGGCTATTGGAGCCGGAAGAAAAGCCCGCCCTGCCCTCGCCCTGGTCCCCGATCAGGGCTCCTTCCCATGCTCCCGTCCCTGTCTCTCCCGCCCCTCAGGCCCTACCACGCGCAGCATGCTGGGCCCCGGGCTGCTCTGGTGGGACCTCACACGGCAGACGGCATCCGTGGCCCCCAAGGAAGAAGTGGCCACCCTGAATGATGGCCTGGTAAGGCTGGACCGCCAAGCAAGGGACAGCGCGGTGGTTTGGGGTTGGTGGTAACTGGGGGGGGGGGGGGTGTGAGTGCACAGACTGTGCCACGCCTGTCCTTGTCCTCCCTCTGCTGGGAGGCCTCCCATGGCAGCTGTCAGTCTGCTACAGACTTGCTTTATTTTGTTCTCTGAGACAGGGTCTCACTGTTTAGTCCAGCTGGCCTCAAATTTGTGGCAGTCCTGCCTCAGCCTCCCCAGAGCTAGGCTGACAGGCAGGGCACGGCACTCAGCCAAGGCATCATACTTTTTCTCTTTCTTTTTTCTTTCTTTTTTATTTTTATAGTTCCTTCCAATCTATAGCAAGGAAACAGGTTTGCCCTTAGGGTAGCGATCTAAAATCTCTCCCGCAGATAAAATTACTTAACTAGAACTGTGAGTCAAGTTGGAGGAAACCTTACATAAGAAACCCCCGGGGTGGTGGCTCTGGGCCAGCCCCGTGTGACTGCTGAGCGATCGCCTGAAGGCTGGGCCGTGCCTCGCTGGGGGTGGGGAGCCCCCTCGTGGGGAGATGAAAGCAGCGAAAATAAAGGAGGCGGTGCCCAGCGGGTGAGGAGGGGGGCTGGACCTGGGCAGCGGCCTCAGCCTGGCGATGGATGGGGGAGGGACGGCTCCGAGAGGAGCCACAGGGAAGGATCGGGCCCAGCAGGTTTGATCCAAGTGCTTTAAAGCCGGCTGCAGCTGCTATGGAAAATCTCATCCGTGCTCCTCCTGCTCCTCCTCCTCCTCCTCCTGCTCCTCCTGCTCCTCCTCCTGCTCCTCCTCCTCCTCCTCCTCCTCCTGCTCCTCCTCCTGCTCCTCCTCCTCCTCCTCTTCCTCCTCTTCCTCCTCTTCCTCCTCCTCTTCCTCCTGCTCCTCCTCCTCCTCTTCCTCCTCCTCCTCCTCTTTCTCCTCCTCCTCCTCCGGTGGCTTCTCCTCCTCCCCCTTTCCCTTGCAGCGCCAGGAGTTGAACCCAGTGCGTGGCAGGCAGTCTGTCTACCACTGGGATGCATTCCTAGCCCTTTTTTTTAGTTTTTAAAGACAGCATCTCACTATGTTGCTAAGTTGCCCAAAAGGAATTGCTCAAAACTTGCAATTCTCCTGACAGCCTCCTGGAGTGCTGGCATTTCAGGCTCCACCATTTTTTTGTTTTTGTTAGTTTTTCATTTGTTTGTTTTTTATTTTTACTTTTTTGAGACAGGATCTCTCTGTGTAGTTCAGGCTGGACTTGAATTCACTACATAGCCCACGCCTACCTTGAACTCGTGGCGATCCTCCTGCCTCAGCCTTCTGTGGATCAAGATGAAAACTGTGCCACCACAGCCAGCTAACAGTTCTTTTTAAAAAATGTTTTTATTTTGAGCACGGATTTACTGTGTTGCCTAAGTCAGCCTCGAACTTGCGTTCCTCTTGCCTCAGCTTCTGGTGTATCTGCGGTTACTCTGACTTGACATCATACCAGCTTCCTGGGTCCTCAGTGTCCCTGTTTGGGACAGAAGCCAGCACAGGGCAGAAGCGGGGTCTCTGATGGGTCCTTTTGTCTGTCCATACCCAGAGTCCAGAAGAAATTCCTGCAGAAGCCAAGAGTGCCTGCGACTTCCGGCCCACGGAGGACAACTGCCCGCTCTTTCTTCGGCTTGAGGGAAAGGGGACCGGCCCCCGGGCACCCTGCAGTGGCAAAGGCTGGGTCCTGGACTATGAGACCAATCTCTAAGGGCGAGGCCAGCACTGGGAGAGACCTCTGGATGGCCCAATCCCAGGGCATGGCCAGAGCCTCCCATGCACTCCTATTGGCGGGACAGCACTCTATGCAAATAACTTTGGGAAGGCATAGTCCCCAGCCAAGAGAGGAGGTGAGGCCCCGCCCTGGGAAGTGATTGTACAGCCCAAGTTGAGGGGAGAGGTTGTGGAATACTACTCAGCAAGGAAAAAAACAGCATGTTCAGGGTGGCAGGAGCCGGGTCACGTGGAGAGCATGAGTTTCTGTGGCTGCTAGAACAAATCACCATTGGCTGAGTGCAGAAAACAACATATAGAGTTCTCTGGGAGTTTGGGAATCAGAAGTCCAAAGTCAAGGCAACTACAGTATCAGGCTTTTAAGAACTCTAAGACAGACAGTCCCAGCCTCCTTCCCGCTTCTGGCAGCTGCTGGCAACCCCTGGCCACCTCAGTTTCCCTTGCAATTAATATCCTTCATTAAAGTGCTCTGTTCACTGGAGAAAGACTGTGCTGGTTTGTTTGTATTGAGACAGGGTCTCACTGTGTAGCCCAGGCTGGCCTCACACTCACGCAACCCTCCTGCCTCAGCCTCTGGAGTGCTGGCAACACAGGCATGGCCACTGTCCCCTGCTTCGGTTCTTTTTCTCCTGCCGGTGCCCAGTGCCTCTGCGTCATGGCCCAGGGCGCCCCATCTTGTGCTGGGACGTGGCACCCCTTTTTGCCAGTACAGCGCAGGCTGGCCCTCTCGAGTCACCTGCTCGGTCGGGCAAATCTCCGGTTCCCCACTCTGCATTTCTAAGCGACCTGAAGCGGTGGCTAAAGGGGATCTCTTGGTATCTCTGGCTTTTCATCTTTTTCCTTCCCTGAAGGAGCCTTTCAGAGCCTGATGCTCCTCTCTGGCTCCTTCCAATCAGACCCCGCGGCCCCAAGCGGTCTTTCCAAGCCAAGCTGAATTCCTGCCGCACATATTTTCTTTAGCAGCCTCTCAGCGCCGTTGGGGCTGGAGACTGTGTCTGGCTCCCCATGAGGGGTCCCCAAATTCCTGCTCATTCTGTTGTGCAGGCAGTGGGCCAGAGGCCGGGCTCCTCAGCTCAGGACCAGTCCAGAAGCAGGCCACACAAGTGAAGGGTGGGGTGCACCCCACGGCCCTGTCACAGTCGCAGGGTGGGCTGGAATCCCCTTCTCGAGCTCCTCCAAGAGGGTGGGATGCCTGGGATGTGGCTGTGTGACATGCAGCTGCTCCCCCACCCTTTCTGGGCCTTTGTGCCAGTTCCTCCGATGCAGACTACATTGCTGGGTGTGCAGTTCCACACCAGGACTCCCTCACCCAGGAGGCTGAGGCAGGAGGGTGCTTGGTTGAGCGCAGCCTCTCCCCTTCCCCAGTTCCTGTGTTTGCAGAAATCAAAGGACCTATAGACGTGAGCGGGAGGCATAAGAACAGGGTCACTTTCCTTTGAGTGCAGGGGTACAGAGCGGCTCTGTTCTGGGATGTGCGCATGCGCATGTGCACTTGGGGCGCCAGGGGTGCGGGGTGAACTCAACAGACCCAGGCACCAGCCTCCCCTCACCTAGTCCGGTCCCCACCGTGGCTCCCCTGATTCCGAATCCATGTCAGCCCCGGGGCCCTCTGGGCCTCTGCCCCCTCATCTCCATCCACAGCTCCCCAGGGCCCTACGAGGGGTTCAGCTGGGGACACGAAACGAAACCCAGCTCCACCCTTGCCTGCCCTTGTTCCCTCTCAGAGGCAGCGAGGCCCGTGTTTGATGTGGGGAAAGGGACGGCTGATTGCAGTTATCGGGGCGGAGGGACACCACAGCCCTGATGGCTGTCAGCAGGGAGAAGGGCGTCTTGGCCTCACCGGCCTGAGGGCTTCAGTCACAGGCAGCGCCCAGGTCGTGGCCGAGGGGCCCAGTCCTTGTTCAAACATTTGTTCTTGAAACAAGAGGCCCACAGGGGCGTCGCCCTCGGCCAGCATCCCGACACCTGTGTGCCACTGACCTGGGCTGTCCCGCTAACACGTGGATGACGCGGATGAAGGCAAAGCCTGGTACAAAAGGCCACTGGTTGAGGGGTGCATGCCTAACATCTCTGCACTTGGAAGGCTGAGGCAGGAGGATCACTGCTTCAATTCCCGGTGGACAGTTTAGGAGTAGAGGATGATATCACACGCCTGTAATCCCAGCACCCTGGGAAGCTGAGGCAGGAGGATGGCGAGTTCAAGCCCAGTTTGGGCAATTTAGGAATTTAGGGAAACATTGTCTTGAAATAAGAAAAAGATTGGGATGTCTGGGAGGATGCTCGTTATGGCGGCCCAGGGATCCATTCCTAGGACTTCCGCTTTGGGGGTGGCTTATACACCTATAAGAACTTGCAAAACCAGTAATCTGTCTACCTGTCACCTAAGATGTGTCTGCCTTTCACTGGAATCACAAATTCGCAAAGAATCAATGCTTGCTATGTTTTATTTATTTGTTTTGAACAGCCTGGGTATTTGAAGGAAATCTCCTGTCTTTTTTTTTTTTTTTTTTTTTCTTTTTCGGTACCAGGGATCCAACTCACGACTGCCTGCTTCCAAGGCAGGCACTTATGCCACTGAGCTAAATCCCCAGCCCCGTGTTTTATTTTTGTTGTTGTTTTGTTTTGTGTTGACAAAGGGTCAGGCTGAACTTGAAATGCAGTGATTCTCCTGCCTCAGCCTCCTGAGGGCTGGGGATGCCAGGCAGGCAACACCACACCCAGCTTCAACTTTTAAAGGGCAAAAGCCTGTTTCTGCTAGCAGTCTGGAAGTTTCTGCTCCCAGGGCTGGCAGGGGGCGGGGGAGGGGGCATTGGCAGCAAAGACAAAAAGAGAGCCCAGCCCCCATCACTCCGCGAGGCCACGCCCCTACCCCCCAAAGGTCCCACTGTCTCAGACAAACCCTGTTGGCCTGCGAAACACTTCTCCGAGCCATAGCCACGCGGGCGCATGCTAAAAAAACTTGGGGCAGTTTATTTAAGCAAAGAACACTTCTTGAAAGGGGCAGCACTCAGAACCAGAAGAGATTTTGAGCCTTCAGGTAGCAACGGGGGAGGCCTTTTGGCTTTTATAGGCCAAACCCTGCATCAAAGCAGACGAGGCTTCTGATTGGCTCTGCGGCTCTTGGGGCGATAGGCGTGGTCTGATAATTTAGCCGTAATTGGCTGAAACTCATCTCTGCCTGGCTGAAACTTGGGTGTGTTTTTATTTTGTTTTTAGTTTTGTTGTCTGGCTTTTTGAGAGGGGGTCTCACTGCAATTCAGGCTGCTCTTGGGCTCACTTTGTAGCCCAGGCTGTTCTCAAACTCACAATTATCCTGCCTCAGCCTCCCGAGTGCTGGAAACGCAGGTGTGCGTCACCACACCCAGCTAAACTGTGTGATTTGTTGAAACTTGGTTTATTTTGGTTTTGGTTTTTCAAGATAGGGTCTTGCTTTGTAGCGGGTGGGCTTAAACTCTCAGCAGTCCTCCTGCCTCAGCCTCCCAAGTGCTGGGCTTGCGGGTGCATGCCATCACACCCTATTTGGTTGTTTGTTAGACTTCTAAGCTAGATTCTAGTTTTCCTAGTACATAAGGTTGGGGTTTCTTTGGCAGGGGCTCCATGGAGACCCTTCATGCTAATGGCTTTCTGCTTATTTATTTAATAAACAAGAACTCTAGAGCCAAAAACAAAACAAAAGGAAAAGAAAGAAAATGCACAACTAAGCAGCTATCCATTTCTTTTCTTTGCCTCCCCTTCCACTCCACAGGCTTTCTTTTGTTTTTTTCATCTCTGTGTCCCGTTATACCTCTGCTCCTTGCCTTCTGGTTACAAAATGGCTGCTACAGCCCCAGAGGTCACATTGACATTTGAGGAAGTGGAAGGAGGGAAGCCTGCTGCATCTCTCTTTTTAAAGAAGAAAAGCTCTCCTAGAAATCTCTACAACATACTGCCCACTTGGGCCTCCTGGGTCAGAACTGGGCAGCCATGGGGCATGGAAGGTAGAGAAAGGGAATCTTTTGTCTTATAGATTTAATCTCAGCACAGGAGACTCATAGCTTTTCATTGTGCCGAGGGCATTAAAGGTGGGTTAGTGAGGCCAGCTCCGGTCTGGGTCAGGGCTCAGTGGAGGAGCACTGCTTACGCTGCAGAAGGCCCTGGATTTCATCACAGCACTAAAACAGGGAGGAAAGGAAGGAGGAGAGGGGAGAAGCGAAGAGAGGAAGCGGAGGGGAGAGGAAAAGGTTAAGGAGCGCTCTTGACAGGTCCCTGTGGCCTCATCTGTAATCTTAGCACTCCAGAGCTGAGGCAAGAGGATCTTCACCAGCCTGGGCTACACAGTGAGGCCCTGCCTCAAACAAAAGAAAAAACAAAGAAAAGAAAAAGGAAAAACAAATAAAAATGGGCTGGGTGTGTCCCTAGGGGCCAGGGCCGGAGTTCAATCCTTAGTACTGCGGGAGAGAAGGAAAGGAAAGGAGACCTAGGTCCCGACCCCGGAACCCCGACTCGCAGGCCTGCTCTGGGAAGGCGGGCAGCCCTTTCTCTTGGCCCTGGTCCCGGGTGATTGTGTGACCAGCGGTAGCATGCATGTCATGCAGAAAGATATGTTTGCAGCGTAAAGTCCCTCTCGGCCGGCTTCGAGGAAATCAACTCTGGGAAATGAACTGAAACTGGTTTGTTGGGTTCTGGGGAACAGCGGGGTAGAGGGAGGCATGGGCTCTCGCAAGGGCCATCTCCCCACAGCAGTAGAGGGCCAAGGTGGTGTCCCTGAGGGCGTCCAGTGCCATCCATCAATGACAATGAAGAAGTCTGGGGCAGCCAGGGGTGCACCCCGTGAGCCCAGCACTCTGGAAGGCTGAGGCAGGAGGGTTTCGAGTCTGAGGCCAGCCTGGACAATTCAGCAGCTTAAGAAAACCCATTATTAAAAAAAAAAAAAGAAAGAAAAAAGAAAACCCGTTATTGGGCAACTCACTCCGGACGCCTTCTGTCTCTCTCTCTGTCTGAGACAGAAGCTTTCTTTCTCTCAATAAGTATTTCTGCTCTTAACCTCTGTTGTTCCTAAAATCCATTCTTCAATTTTAGAGAACACGAACTCGCTCTGGACATATAGTAGGTCCGGAGTTTCCTTCCCCTATATCAAGACCATAATCATAAATGAAATAAATCATTCTTGCATATGTTAAAAAAAAAAAAAAAAGAAAACCCTTTATAAAGGTAAAAAAGGCAGAGGACGCAGCTCAGCAACATGTCCCTGGCTAGTGTCTGCAAGGTCCTGGGTTCCATCCCCCGCACTACAAAAAAATAGTAAATATACACAAAATAAAAAGCCTCAAGGGCCCCTAAGGGTACATCAACTATTAGGGCAAAGATGTCCTCAATATTTGCTCCTCTTCTGGCTGGGCCCAGCTGGATGACTGCATCCGGACTCTGCTGGTGAAGCGTTGTACCTAAGATTAGGACTTGAGGGGCTGGGGGTTTAGCTCAGCGGCATAAGCGCCTGCCTTGAAAG